TGAGGGAGCTTTTCCGTGCTGGGCACTGACTCCGTGTGCGCGGAGGGCGCTGGAGAAATGTTCACGCCGGCCTCTTTCCCTGAGGGCCCTACAGCCGTCACAGGTGCACATCCCGCCTCAGGGGCATCGTGGGTAATTCAGCTCAAAGTCCATGCCAGTCCCCGTCCCCGCCGGGCCCCAGAGCTTCTACAGGAAGCCGGGCCGCGTGCACACAGCACCGGGTTTGTCCCGGGAGCCCCCTGGGCCGGGCGGACCGTGCGGTCAGCTGACGCGGTGAGTCCTGTCCTCAGGCTCCAGCGGGACGTCCCGCCTGTGGGACCAGACAGTCATCGACGCAAACAGCATGGCGGGACCAGTTACCGGCACTGGTCTCCTCACCCTCAGCCCATGCACATCACAGGCCCGTCCTCCCAGCAAACCGGAGGCACCGTCCCCTCGGTGCTCCCACCCCCCACCTCCCCTGTGCGCGGCCGCAGGAGATAAACCCAGTGGGCGCAGGTGTGCAGTGTGTTTGGGAGGTGGGTCACAGTGGCGAGATCCTGTGGGAACGGGGCAAGGGGCGCCCCCAGGGGGCAGGATCCAACTGGACACCCGCCTGGTTTATCTGTTCAGGAGACAAGGAAGGGAGTATTAGCAACGTGAATGGTACTGCTTGCATACACGTTGAAAAAGACTGAAAGCAATTTGGGTGTATTTTTGTTATTTGTTTTAAAATATATTTTTATCACCCTGGCTGGTTTGCTCAGTGGATAGAGCGTCGGCCTGTGGACTGAAGGGTCCCAGGTTCGATTCTGGTCAGGGCACAGGCCCGGGTTGTGAGCTCCATCCCCAGTAAGGGGCATGCAGGAGGCAGGTGATCAATGATTCTCTCTCATCATTGATGTTTCTACCTCTCTCTTCATCTCCTTTCCTCTCTGAAATCAATAAAGATATATTAAAAAATAGATAAATAATAAAATATATCTTTATTCATTTCAGAGAGGAAGGGAGAGATAGGAACCTCAGTGAGAGAGAATCATGGATCAGCTGCCCCCACTGGGGACGGATCCCACAACCCGGGCATGTGCCCTGACTGGGAATTGAACCGTGACCTCCTGGTTCCTAGGTGGATGCTCAACCCCTGAGCCACGCAGCTGGGCCTGGATGTTCTGGTTTAGGAAACAATGGGACCAGCTGCAGAGCAAGGGTAGGTGCGGCCGCTGCAGCCAGATGCCCAAAGGCTCCCAGGTCTGAGCATGGACCTGCTCCCCTCCTCTCACCCCAGCCCGGGGCCTCCCGTTCCTTCTCTCCCCCCCCTCCCCCTAGCCCTCTCTCAGCACCCACAGACATCTCACCGAACGCACAGCCTGTGCTGCTTTCTCCTGAAGGCGCGTCTTTCTCCCCAGCCGGCGCCTATTAGCTCCAATCCTCCGTCAGTGTGATTGCTGACAAGTCCGCTTTGTAAGCCGCCTTGTATTTCTCCTTGACTTTGCTTATCTCCCCCTGAGCCCCTCTCTCTAAATCACTCTTCCCGGGATTGCTTTCCCATAAACAGAGCCGAGCCGGGCGCTCCGGTGATATAAGGCGCGGCCTTTCGGAGCGGCACACGGAGCTCGCTATCGATTGCCGGGCCCTGGGGCTTGACCGTCATACAGCCCGCTGATCCCGGCTCTGGGCCGCGACGGGCTCCCCGCCTGCAATGCCGCGGCCCGGCGAGGCCGCAGAGGGCGGCGCCCCATGGGGCTCAGACCCCACCCTGTGGGAGCCCCCCGGGTGCGGGGTCCGGGTACAGTGAGTCCCTCCCGCCGGCACAGAGCCCCTGGTCTCTGCCCAGGATGGGCGGTTCAGCGCGGCCAGCACTTTGCCCCTCTCCTGTCCTCTCCGAAGTCGTCTGTCAGCGCCTCCTCCACCTGCCGGACGTCAGCCAGGCGTCAGCGTGATCGCGGTTAGAATTTCGAGAATATGTTCTCTCTGTTCCCTCAACACGGGCATCTTTTAAGGTTACTTTTTGCAAACATCACGCATTTGCAAACATCATGCATTTCACCTGTTTTTCTAAAGAGTGTTTACCCCGATACCCATGTTTTACCCTACACACACACACACACACTCACACACACACACACACTCACACACACACACACTCACACACACACACACTCACACACACACACTCACACACTCACGCACACACACACACACACTCACACTCACACACACACACACTCACACACACACACTCACACACTCACGCACACACACACTCACACTCACACACACACACACACACACACACTCACACTCACACACACACACACACACTCACACACACACACACACTCACACACACACACACTCACACACGCACACACTCACACACACACACTCACACACACACACACACTCACACACTCACGCATACGCACACACTCACACACACACACTCACACACACTCACACACACTCACACACACACACACTCACACACACACTCACACACACTCACACACACACACTCACACACACACTCACACACACACTCACACACACACACTCACACACACACAGCTCTTGTCCTCACGCTGGCCGGAGTCACACAGTAGGGCCGCCCCCTCCTCCTGGAGAACAGACTGTGCCCTGGGAAGTTTTCCTGAGGGGATGGGACTGTCCTTCACTCCCCAGGGCGGGGGGCGGGGATGGCCTTCGGGCCGGAGCACAGGAAGGACACTGGCGGTCCCCGGCGGGCCCTCTGCCGAGGAAGGAGGGCGGGCACTGACCGGTGGGCAGTGCGTGTGCGTGCTTGGGAGGGAGTGTATTCCTCAGGCCTGTCCTCCGATCAGAGAGAGGCACATTCTCTATTCCCCCAAGTTATATTCTTCATTTCTTTATTTTTTAAGTATGTTTTTATTGATTTCAGAGAGGAAGGGAGTAGGAGAGAGAGAGAGAAACACCAATGATGAGAGAGAATCACAGTTCAGCCCCACGCCCCACACTGAGGACCGAGCCCACAGCCTGGGCACGTTCCCTGACCGGGAATCGAACCCTGACCTCCTGGTTCGTAGGTCCAAGTTCAACCAGAGCCAAGCCGTAGGGCACGTTTCTCTGGGGCTGGCTCTTCGCCAGGGAAGGTCTGAGCAGCGCCCTGGCTGTTTGGATACCTGACATTCTTCCCAGGGGATGGGAGGAAAGGCTGGGCCTGAGGGAGTCACCCAGAGCCCAGGCCAGTTCGGGCACATTCCTCACCGCTGGGATGGAGGAATGGAGGCTTCTGGAAAGTGTGGGCAGCAGCACTGACCGCCGCCTCAGGGCGCGCAGGAGTCAGTTATCCTTAAAGTTTAAGATCGTGGCTCATCCCCGGGTGCCTGTCCCACAGCGAAAGGTCCCGAATCCGGTCACCGGGTCCAAACCCGCTCCTAACGGAGAGGGAGCGCGGCCTTCCTTCCCCCCCCCCCTCCGGGAGGCCAGGCGGCCCGCAGAGCAGGGGCCCGAACCCCCAAAGCCCAGCAAACAGATGGCTGTTCCCCCGGCCGGGCCGCTGGGACCCTGGACCCGCTGGGACCCCGGACCCGCTGGGACCCCGGACCCGCTGGGACCCCGATCCGCTGGGACCCCGATCCGTTGGGACCCCGGACCCGCTGGGACCCCGATCCGCTGGGACCCCGATCCGCTGGGACCCCGATCCGCTGGGACCCGGACCCGCTGGGACCCCGATCCGCTGGGACCCCGATCCGCTGGGACCCGGACCCGCTGGGACCCCGATCCGCTGGGACCCCGATCCGCTGGGACCCGGACCCGCTGGGACCCCGCTCCGCTGGGACCCCGATCCGCTGGGACCCCGATCCGCTGGGACCCCGCGCGGAGAGGTGGCCGGGCCGCGGGGACGGTGCCGCCTCCGGGACCGTCAGGGACCGGCGTCCCCGCCCCCGGGCCCCGGGCCAGGGCGCCGGGCGGGCAGTTCCGCGTCTGCGCGGCGGGGCTGAGGCCGGGCCGCCGGAGCCAACGGGCGCGGGGCGGGGAGGCCGGCGGGGCGCGGGGCGGAGCGGGGCGGGGAGGCCGGCGGGGCGCGGGGCGGAGCGGGGCGCGGGGCGGAGCGGGGCGGGGAGGCCGGCGGGGCGCGGGGCGGAGCGGGGCGCGGGGCGGAGCGGGGCGGGGAGGCCGGCGGGGCGCGGGGCGGAGCGGGGCGCGGGGCGGAGCGGGGCGGGGAGGCCGGCGGGGCGCGGGGCGGAGCGGGGCGCGGGGCGGAGCGGGGCGCGGGGCGGAGCGGGGCGCGGGGCGGGGAGGCCGGCGGGGCGCGGGGCGGGGCGGGGCGGGGAGGCCGGCGGGGCGCGGGGCGGGGCGGAGCGGGGCGGGGGCGGAGCGGGGCCGGGAGGCCGGCGGGGCGCGGGGCGGAGCGGGGCGGGGAGGCCGGCGGGGCGCGGGGCGGGGCGGGGCGGGGAGGCCGGCGGGGCGCGGGGCGGGGCGGGGCGGGGAGGCCGGCGGGGCGCGGGGCGGGGCGGGGCGCGGGACGGAGCGGGGCGGGGGCGGAGCGGGGCCGGGAGGCCGGCGGGGCGCGGGGCGGAGCGGGGCGGGGAGGCCGGCGGGGCGGACCAGGGCGCGGGGCGGGGCGGGGAGGCCGGCGGGGCGCGGGGCGGGGCGGGGCGGGGAGGCCCGCGGGGGCGGAGCGGGGCGGGAGGCCGGCGGGGCGCGGGGCGGAGCGGGGCGGGGAGGCCGGCGGGGCGCGGGGCGGAGCGGGGCGGGGAGGCCGGCGGGGCGCGGGGCGGACCAGGGCGCGGGGCGGGGCGGGGAGGCCCGCGGGGGCGGAGCGGGGCGGGGAGGCCGGCGGGGCGGAGCGGGGCGGAGCGGGCAGGGAGGCCGGCGGGGCGGAGCGGGGCGGAGCGGGCAGGGAGGCCGGCGGGGCGCGGGGCGGACCAGGGCGCGGGGCGGGGCGGGGAGGCCCGCGGGGGCGGAGCGGGCAGGGAGGCCGGCGGGGAGGCCGGCGGGGCGGGCGGCGGGCGGCGGGCGGCGGGCGCTGGGGATGGAGGAGCAGCTCCCGGCGGGGGGCGCGGGCGGGGACGGCCCCTGCGCGCTGCTGCCGGCCGAGGCGCTGGCGCTGGACGGGGACGAGGACGACCTGGAGGTGTTCAGCAAGGTGAGCCCGGCCGGCCCCCGGTCCTCCTCCCGCCGCCGCCGCCGCCCTGTGACCAGGGCTGTGATCCGCTTTGGTCTCCCTCCTCCCGGCGGACTCGGGGCCGCGGCCAAACGCAGGCGGCGCCAGCTCCCCGCCCCGCGCCGGGGTTTCGGGGCGGCCGCCGGCCGGGAGGGGCTGGAGTCCAGAGGGGGACTTTGATTTCCTGTCCCGGTGCGGGTGCGGGGCTGGGGACACCGAGGTGCCTCTCAGGTCCCGGGAGAGGTGCCGGGAGCCCCCTCTGCGGGGCGGGGAGCTCCCTGCGGAGCCCGGGACCCCAGCACCCAGCTGCCCCCTCCCCGCCCCCCGCCCCCGCTTCAGTCCGCCGGGCCTCCGGGCCGGCCCTCCAGCCTGCGGAGTGGGCGGAGAACGGCAGGCAGAGTGTGTGGACTGTGGATACAGTTGCTATTTGTAAAGAAAAATGCCTTTCTTGGTGGGAGGCGGGAGGCGGGAGGCGGGAGGGAGGGGCGTTGACCGTCACCCCGGCTCCTCACCTGGCTGCCCAGGTGAGAACAGAAGACACGGCTGTATTCATGGCCCAGACGCCTGGGAGGAGCAGAGGGTACCTGAGGGGTTAGGCAAAGCCACACCTGTGACCAGAGCTTCATTGTGGGAGAGTCACGGAGGGAGAAGGTGCCCAGTGAGACTCAGACCCAAAGAGGAGGAAAACGTGGGGGAACACATACAGGCAGGCCTGTGCCTTTCCCGCGAGTTCCCCTCGTTTTACCAGGGGGTCCATTGAGGTCCCCCCGCAGCACAGGGTGAACCTGCCTCCACGTCCCCCGCGCCCTCTCTGTCCGGCGAGGGGCAGCTGGCCGGCCTGGGAGGGTACGGTTAGCCTAGGACTGTCCCCGAGGCTCCCCAGGGCACGTGTCCGGCCCGGGAGGGGCCGAGGGTGGGAGTGGCCCGGGCGGCCGTATCACCCGGGATCCTCCTAAACGTGTCACATGACTTCTCGTCCCAGATTCCGAGCGTCCCAGCCCTCTCGCGGGGAAACCGACGTCCGGAGCCCGCAGGCAGAGGCGGGTCTCAGGCGAAGCTGTTGGGATTGGAGCTCCCGGTGTGGGGTAGCAGGGCCGGGAACCTGGGCCCTTACCGGGGCTGTGGGTGGTGTAGGTGGGAAGACGGTGCAGCCGGGCGTCCTGTAGGTCCTGTGTGTATTGTAGGTTCGGTTCCTTCCCCCCCCTAGCCTTACAGCGGGCTCAGCGTTCTGGGGGAAGGGCTGCCCGGAGGTGATTAAGGAGCCCGTGGATGAAAGGTAGTTTTGGAAGGCATCGGGGGTCAGAGGAGCTTCCGCTGAGGTGAGGGAATAGAAGACTCTCCTCCTTTATCAAGGACCCGTGCTTTGATTAAACACAATTTGTCCCTAGGTGAGGTGGAGACATACACTTCAAAGGGCATGGTGTCAGAGGGTTTACAGAGATGGTCCGTTTCGGGAATAGCCTACAGTTTGGCCAGCAGGAGGCAGTAAAGTGCCCTGAGCTGTCTGGCGGCTAACAGTCCTATTCAGGTTTGGGGGAAGTGCCTTAGCCGTTTCCAACAGGCAAACTCCATGTGACTCCACCCTGCCGAGCTCCCCAAGCTTACCAACTTTTGGAAAAACTCTTGTAATTGTCACACGCTGGAATTGCATGGATTGGGGTGGCATTGGCTCACAAAACCATCCAGGGTTCAAGTGGCATCTGACCTCCTGCCACAGCGCGGAGGGACCTGGAGAGCCTGTGCCGAGCGCAGTCAGCCAGACAGACAGACAAGCACTGAGAGCTTCACGTCTAGGTGAAGTCTAGAGAGCAATCTGAACTGACGACGGAATCGGAGCAGACTCCTGGGTGCGGAGAACGGCCTGGGGTTGGGTGAACAGGGGGCAGGATTAGGAAAAAAGGAGCAGGTGCATTTCTGAGTGCCCTCCTTCCATCGCCTGCAGCTGTCGGGGCCGGATCTCCAAGGCCCCCGGCTGCGCGGAGGTTTCTTCATGCCAGCCGACATTTGTTCCCCACCTAATGCTGTCCTTGTACTTCTGCATCTTCTGAAAAGGACCGGGCCTCAGCCCCATCCCTGGCCCAGCTGCTTGTGAGTGCTTCCGGCTCCCTGTCAGGCCCCCAGGAAGGTGAGGAGCCGCCTGTGGCTCTTAGGCTGCGGGCCCCCCTGGCCCCTCGGTTTAGGAAAAGAACGTCTGAGAGGGCGCCGGAAGCATTGAGATTCGCTGCCCGTTTATGCTAAGGTGACCAGACGTCCCGCTTTTGGCGGGACAGTCCCGATGTTTAACAATCTGTCCCGAGTCCTGAGGCGTTTTAAAACAGTCCCGATTTTTGGAAAGAAGGTTGGGTGTGGCGGGGATACACCTACAGCCGCCCGGACGGACAGAGTGGAAATGATGGGAAGCTCCATGGAGTCCAAGGAGGGCTGTGAAGGCACAGGCAGGAGCCAGACCCTTTTCCTTGGAACAGCGAAGGCGGTGCTTCCGGGCTGCGGGAGTGTGTCTTGGAGGCTGTGTGTGTGTGTGTGTGTGTGTGAGGGGGGGGGTGTCTCTGCTCCCGTGACTCACCCCACGTAGGCCTCCTGGCTGCTGAGGGCGACAGGGAGGGGCCTGCTGGCGTTCCTGCCCCAGGGTGAGTTCCAGCCTGGAGTGCGGGCGTGGCTGGTCTCAGGCCTCCCCTGGAAGTTGGGGGAGAGGGGAGCCCAGCCTGGCCTCAGAGGCAGCAGGCTGACGGGCTGCATTCCCCGCTGGGCTGGGTGTGCAGAGGCGGGACCACAGTCATACTTTCCACCCCGGGAGCTCTGAGTAATGGCCGCCCCCTGCTTAGTCATCCTTGAAGCCACTCGGCGGCTGGGGTTCCCTCACGTCCGTGGGATCCCCATCCAGGGCAGGAAACCCCTCCCGTGGATTTGGCGTCCGTGGCTTTGAGTGTCTCTGGCACGTGGAACAGAACATAGCTGCGCATGTTACACGTGTGTTACATGTATGAAGGAGCCCTGCCCGCCTTTCAGCCTCCACATTTCACTTGTTCTTTCCTTGTTCTTCCTTCCACATGCAGCCACCTGCACCGAGCTGGTTACAAACATTCGAGTGAGTGAGTGTGTGTGTGTGTGTGTGTGTGTGTCTGTCTGAGGATAAGAGAAAAGGCCCCATAAGAAATGCAGTGCGGGAACCCAGCGAATTACACACACACACACACACACACACACACACGGCAGAGGTCAGGGCGGCAGTTTGTGTCTGATTCCACGAGAAAGCTGCGCAAAGAGAATCCAGGCGCCATTGCCAGCCCTCAGCGTGTGTCCTGTTCCTGTCAGTGGCTCCTGCCTCTCTAACGATCGTTGGAACGTTAAAGGGCTCTCAGGACTGCGGGCCCGAGGCTCCGGGCTCTCGGACATCAGGGTCCTCCTCCGGGCGGCTCCTCCGCTCCCCCCGCCGAGGCCCCGCACCGCCCGGCAGCCGGCCTCCAGCTTCCGAAAACGGCAGCTTCGCTCGGCTGTCTCTTCCAGGCTCAGGCCTCCGGGTCCGGCTTTGTTTGTTTTCATCTGTCTGTGTCCTTGCTGACGTCCGTGGGGTCCTGCGCGGGCGCTGAGACGGAAACCTGCGTCCCAGGGCCCCCCTGCCCCGGGCGGGACAGCGGGGACCTGGAAGGAGGCTCCAGCCTCCCCCCCGCAGAGGCTGATGCTCGGTTCCTCCCCAGGATGCCTCCCTGATGGACATGAACTCTCTGAGCCCCACCATGCCCACGTCCCCCTTGTCGATGATCAACCAGGTCAAGTTCGAGGACGAGCCAGACCTGAAAGATCTCTTCATCACGGTGGACGACCCCGAGAGCCACGTCACCACCCTGGAGACCTTCGTCACCTACAGGGTGGCCACCCAGGTGCGTGCGGGCGGCGGTCCCCGCGGGCGGCTGTCCCCGGACCCGGGACGTGCCACCCGCTCACTGGGAACACGCAGCGTCTCGGCTGAATTTATCTGTTTTTGTTTGTTTGTTTGTTTGTTTTAAACCATTTTGGGTAAGATACTGCATTTTGGGGTGTAGATCGCCTGAGTCCGTTCGTCCTGAACTCCCAGGTGCCCAGGTTTTATGGGGAGACGTGGAAACGAAGCATTTACAGAACAGCTCCCAGGGGAACTGGTAATGAACCTGTGCATATGTGCTGGTTACACAGAGCTGTTCAATAAGTAGATAGAGATATATGTTTAAAAATATGTTTGTTTATTTATTTATTTTTTAGAGGGGGTGGGGAAGGAAAGGGGTAGAGAGATAGAAACATCAATGATAAGAGAGAATCATCGATCGGCTGCTCCCTGAATGCCCTCTACTGGGGATCAAGCCCACAACCTAGGCTTGTTCCCTGACTGGGAATCGAACCCGTGACCTCCTGGTTCATAGGCCGATGATCAACCGCTGAGCCACGCCTGCCAGGCTTTAGTAAACATATTTTAACGAGTGACTCTAAGCTATGTTTGTGTGCATATGTGTGTTCACGTGTATATATTTGCATATATATGTCCACATATCAACTCATGTATATTGTTAAACTGCCTCGACTAGATCTATAATAGTTTTCCTATTTTTAGCATTTCTATAACCTGTCCTTTTTTGCATAATAGCTAAGATTTTGTAGTGTTCTGTGAGCATTTAGTTCTTTCGATTTCTGCATCTCACTTATCCTTTTTCACTAAAAGGGGAATGTTTTCCTGAGCTGCATTGTGAGGTATTCCAAACATGCATTTTAAGAGATTAAATCTTGGAAAGTATAGCTTAGGGGAGCCTTATTTCACAGCAATTACGGTTGCTCAGCTCTTGCACGGCTCAATCCTACAATTATGCTTATCTGCGGGGTGGAGTGTGGGACATGCATGCCACGTGTTATTCTGTTCTTCAGAAAAATCTCAACCTTCCCAGGACTGACTGTGATTTTTAAAAAATATATATTTTATTGATTTTTTTACAGAGAAGAAGGGAGAGGGATAGAGAGTTAGAAACATCGATCAGCTGCTTCCTGCACACCTACTACTGGGGATGTGCCCGCAACCAAGAAACATGCCCTTGACCGGAATCGAACCTGGGACCCCTCAGTCCTCAGGCCGATGCTCCATCCACTGAGCCACACCGGTTAGGGCGTGTGATTTTTAATATGCAAAAATGCAGCTACATAGGACACTGGTGGGAACGGCTGTTTTCCTGAGAGGGGCGCATGCATGAGGAGGTCTGCTTTTGTGTTTGGCTCGGCGTTCGGCCGTGGAAGGGAGGTCGGCATTACACCCGGCCGGCGTAGCATTATGGTTTGCTGAGAAGAGATGTTTGAAGGGATTTGCTTAGCCTTTTAGGAGCTCAGCATAGACCTCAAAATAGAATTCCTTGGGAAGGACGAGAGGGTTGTGTCTCCACATCAAGTCTCCTTTAATGACACGTTTGAAACAGCGGGTAAAACCACCCCATCAGATGCTGGAATGTTCGCAGACCAAACGCGCGTTTTAGCCAAAGGGTGGGTTGGAGCATATTCGGGGAAGCGTTGTTCCTGGGTTGTGTTCGGGTCCCTCCCACAGGGCACCCCGATGATCCCCGAGGTGAGACCCGCGTGTCAGCCTCAGTGCGGGGCACCCGCTCCTGCGGTGGCTGCGTCGGGGGGAGGAGAGGGGCTCTCCCCCAGACTCCCCGTGCGGGTCTCAAGCCCGAGCGTGGGGTTTGCTTCCTGCGGGGCCCGCCGCGCGGCTGCGCCTCCCTGCTCCGCACAGGCTGCCGTGCGGCATCGCCTTGCGCCGCTCCCTCCGCAGACGTCCCGCGGGGAGTTCGACTCCAGCGAGTTCGAGGTGCGGCGCCGGTACCAGGACTTCCTGTGGCTGAAGGGGAGGCTGGAGGAGGCCCACCCCACGCTGATCGTCCCGGTACGTCCGCCCGCCTTCCCCACCACGGCTGTCACCGTGTCCGTGAACCGAACCCCAGGCCTTTCCGTTCCGGGGAGTCCATTCCTCCGGGAACATCCGTTTTACACGTTTCCCCCCAACTCCAGATTTGCTTTTTATTCTTTAATATTTTTGAATTGATCTTAGAGAGGGAGGGGAGAGAGAGAAGCATCATCATAGATGAGAGTCATGGGCCGGCTGCGTCCTGCATGCCCCTCCCCCCTCGAACCCGGGCCTGTGCCCAGACCGGGAACGGAAAACCCTGACCTCCCGGTTCCCAGGTGAGACGCTCACCACCGAGCCCCACAGGCCGGGCCCCCTTTGCTGTTCTAACTGTCTCACGCTGACGCTGTGTCGTGTTCGGACTTAGCGTGTGCACTTGCAACGTGTCTTCACGCGAAGTGCAGGCATGTTCCCGTGGCCTGTGACACGGCACGTGTGGCGGTTCCCCAGCCCCCGCGGCCGGGCGGGCGCCGGGCTCACGGCGGGTCTGTTTGCCGCAGCCGCTGCCGGAGAAGTTCGTGGTGAAGGGCGTGGTGGAGCGCTTCAACGACAGCTTCATCGAGACGCGCCGACGGGCCCTGAGCACCTTCCTGACCCGGGTCGCCGACCACCCGACCCTCACCTTCAGCGCGGACTTCAAAGTCTTCCTCACCGCGCCCGACGGGGTAACGCCTGCACCCACGCCCCGCCCCTCCCTTCCTCCCGGCCAGAGGCCACCCCTCCCTCGTTGGCCTAATTGATAAGCCAGGCAGCAGGGCCCTGGAGTTAAGAAGGATTTTTTTTAAAAAAAATATATATATATAGATTTATAGATTTCAGAGAGGCAGGGAGAGGGAGAGAGAGATGGAAACATCCGTGATGGGAGAGAACCATGGATCGGCTGCCTCCTGCACACCTCCCACTGGGGATGAAGTCCGCAAAAGGACCTGTGCCCTTGACCGGAACCGAACGTGGCACCCTTTCCAGGCGTCCTCAAACTTTTTAAAGTGGGGGCCAGATCACGGTCCCTCAGAGAGCTGGAGGGCCGGACTATATGAACTACTAATTCCTACTGTAACACCTCGGCTGCGCTCACTGCCCAAAAAACCTGTCGGGCCGGATCAGACTCCTCTGCGGGCCGCATGTGGCCCGCGGGCCGTAGTTTGAAGACCCCTGCTTAGGCCGTAGGCCGGCGCTCTATCCACTGAGCCACACCGGCCGGGGCTGAAGAAGGGTTTTTGAACACGGGAGGGACAGCCGTCAGGGGTAGCCCCGTGTCAGGTCTCCATCCCAACGTCCCTCCCTCCAATGTGCGGACGCGCCCTCCCCCTCCCCCCCCTTCCCAGGAGCTGTCGGCGCACAAGAAGCAGGGCCCGGGGCTGCTGAGCAAGGTGGGCCGGACGGTGCGGGCCGCCGCCCTGGCCCTGAGGGGCGTGCGGGGCCGCCCCGAGGAGTTCGAGGCGATGAGCGGCTTCATCGAGGCCTTCAGCCAGAAGATGGGGCTCCTCGACAAGGTCTCCCAGCGGATCTGCAAGGAGGAGCGGGGTACGTGGCCTGCGTGGCCGCCGAGCGCCTGCAGAGCCGTACGGGATGCGCTTCCGTCCCGCCGTCCGTCCGCGGGGACCGCCCGCCTTCGGTGCACGAAGGGGTTCTGTGTCTTTACTTCCAGAGTACGTGGACGAGATGAAGGAGCTCGGCCCCACCCACGCCCTGTGGGCCGAGCTGGAAGACGACCTGGCGGACACGCTGGGCGGCGTGGCCAGCTGCCTGGACCGGTGCTGCCAGGCCACCGAGCGGCGCCTGCGCGGCCTGGCCGAGGCCCTGCTGCCCGTCCTGCACGAGTACGTGCTCTACGGCGAGATGCTGACGGTGAGGGCCCCGCCCCGAGCCTGGGCCGCAGCGGCTGTGTCTGCCGTCCCCGCGGGCCGCCGCGCGTGGACAGACGGCGTGGGCGCCCGCCGTGCGGTGATGGGCGGGAGATACAGGCCTCAGTCCCTCTGTGCTGTGGCCGCCCCGCTGATGGCTCCTGCGTTTCCCCGCGCAGGGCGTCATGAAGCGGAGGGACCACATCCAGGCGGAGCTGGAGTCCAAGGTGGAAGCTCTGACCTACAAGAAGGCGGACACGGAGCTGGTGAGCTCGCGGGTTCCGCCCTGGGATGGCGTCGGCCGGTGGGTCACCTGAGGCTTTTCCCGCTGGCCGAGAGGGCCTGCTACCGCTTGGTGTGCGTGTTCGGCCAGAGGCACTGCCACTTCTCCCCACGTTTCTGTCCCTCCTGCCGAGTTCTCCAGGAAAGAGACTTGGTTAGTGTGTGTGTGTGAGTGTGTGTGTGTGTGTGTGTGTGTGTATGTATGTGTGGGGGGTGTATGTGTGTGGGTGTGTGTGTGTGGGTGTGGGTGTGTGTATGTGTATGTATGTGTGTGGGTGTGTGGGTGTGGGTGTGGGTGTGTGTATGTGTATGTATGTGTGGGGGGTGTATGTGTGTGTGTGTGAGTGTGTGTATGTGTGTGTGTATGTGTGTGTGGGTGTGTGTGTGTATGTGTATGTGTGTGTGTGTGTGTGGGTGTGTGTATGTGTGTGTGTATGTGTGTGTATGTGGATGTGTGTGTGTGGGTGTGGGTGTGTGTCTGTGTGAGTGTGTGAGTGTGTGTGTGTGTATGTGTGTGGGTGTGTGTATGTGTGTGTATGTGTGTGCGTGTGTGTGCGTGTGTGTGTGCGTGTGCACGTGTGTATTTAACGAGTCCAGTAGAGGGAACAAGAAGGGGGACACATGTACCAGAATAGCATTCTTGTCTTTTAAACTGTAGAATTCTTTTATTTGTTAAACAGTTTTTAAATATGTTGATATTAGCGACGAGGTACAATGTTGCATTGACCTACCCTAGAGAAGGGGCGTCAGCGTTCAGGAGCAGAGCACAGCTTAGGGCCACACGTCTGTTCAGAAGGAGGAGGCGCCGGGATCCTCCCTCCCGGAGTCCGGGAGAAAGCCCGGCCCGTCCGGCTCAGCTTTCCCGCCTCACCTGAAATAGCCACTTTTTTTTTCCAATTTGACTTGCAAATAGTTTGTCTTTTTGCTATAAAAGTTTCCTTGACATCTCATTATAACCTACTGATCCCTCTGTATTTCTGACCCATTTTTGCGTTTGCCAGCGCTGGTATAAAGGTTTTTGTTTTTGTTTTCTCCTGGCCAGCTGCTCTGTTGAGAGAGTGGAGAAATTTGCAGCGTTCGTTGTCTGCATGGCATTCCTAAGATGCTTTTAAAGAACTAAGATGTGAAGCAGAGAGATCGGAGCAGTGCCGGGGCCATCAGGGGGCCTGCCTGGCATGCGGGCGCGTTGAGGGGTTGGGGCGCGGCCTCTGGCACGGACCCCGCTGCAGAAGCCGCGCGCTGGGAGGGCATCTTCGGGGGAGCCCTCCAGAGGAAGCTGGCAGCAGTAGTCCCAGCACAACGGGAAGGAAGTTGCTTAGGAAGATGCAGGATGGCATCGCCATGGAAACGCACTCATGTGAGGTCGGAAGGAGCCATCCTTTGCAGTCGCCATGGCGACCCTGGCAGAGAACTGAATAGAGCCCCCCAGCCCGGGTGCTCACCATGACAACTCAAGCAGGCCCCTTTAGAGCCCACCCCGGGCCGTCTCTATGGCGACCGCGCCGCGCTGCCTCCAAGCTCAGCCCAGGCCCCCGAGGGTGGGACGCCACGCGGACCCGGCTCAGCAGCTCAGCGTGAGGAGGCCGCTCACACGCAGCCCACCCGGACGGGCGGACCAGGGGCGCTGTAGCTGCTGGTGGAGATGGAGCTCCGATGGCAGAGCCAGGTGGCCGGGGAGGGGCCCCTGGAGAAACGCATGTGGCGGTGCTTAGAGACAGGCAGCATTTACAGCACTGAGACTTGTCGAGGCCACGAGGGAGACTGAAGGCACTTCCCGGCACGGAGGGCCCGGCCAGGGAGTCTGGTGCGAAGGAAGGCAGTTGTCGCTTCGGCTGCTGGGGGAACCGGACCGGCAAGATGAGCTGAACGTGGAGGGTCATTCGACTTCTGTAACCCACTTCTGCTGGGAGGCCTTTCTGCAAACAGCGGGCCTGGGACACGGGCGGGCCTGGGACACGGGCGGGCCTGGGACACGGGCGGGCCTGGGACACGGGCGGGCCTGGGACACGGGCGGGCCTGGGACAGGGACAGTCTGGGACACGGGCGGGCCTGGGACAGGGGCGGGCCTGGGACAGGGGCGGGCCTGGGACAGGGACAGTCTGGGACACGGGCGGGCCTGGGACAGGGGCGGGCCTGGGACAGGGGCGGGCCTGGGACACGGGCGGGCCTGGGACACGGGCGGGCCTGGGACAGGGACAGTCTGGGACGGGGCGGGCCTGGGACATGTGCGGGCCTGGGACAGGGACAGTCTGGGACGGGGCGGGCCTGGGACATGTGCGGGCCTGGGACAGGGACAGTCTGGGACAGGGGCGGGCCTGGGACATGTGCGGGCCTGGGACACGGGCGGGCCTGGGACACGGGCGGGCCTGGGACAGGGACAGTCTGGGACACGGGCGGGCCTGGGACACAGGCAGGCCTGGGACACGGGCGGGCCTGGGACACGGGCAGGCCTGGGACAGGGACAGTCTGGGACACGGGCGGGCCTGGGACACGGGCAGGCCTGGGACACGGGCGGGCCTGGGACACGGGCGGGCCTGGGACAGGGACAGTCTGGGACACGGGCGGGCCTGGGACACGGGCAGGCCTGGGACACGGGCGGGCCTGGGACACGGGCGGGCCTGGGACAGGGGCGGGCCTGGGACAGGGACAGTCTGGGACACGGACGGGCCTGGGACAGGGACAGTCTGGAACATGGGCAGGCCTGGGACAGGGACAGTCTGGGACATAGGCGGGCCTGGGACACGGGCGGGCCTGGGACAGGGGCAGTCTGGGACACGGACGGGTCTGGGACAGGGACAGTCTGGAACACGGGCAGGCCTGGGACAGGGGCAGTCTGGAACACGGGCGGGCCTGGGACAGGGGCGGGCCTGGGACAGGGGCAGTCTGGGACACGGACGGGTCTGGGACAGGGACAGTCTGGAACACGGGCAGGCCTGGGACAGGGACAGTCTGGGACATAGGGGGGCCTGGGACACGGGCGGGCCTGGGACACGGGCGGGCAGTAACTGGTCCCAGAGAAGCGGGGGGCTGTGTGATGAGCCCCGTGAAGAAGGTGCAGCACTGCGGATCAGAGCCGGATCTGCGGTGGAGAGGAAGGGCAGCGGTGGCTCCGAGGGGCAGGGGCGGGGGCCGGGGTGTGGGGTGTGGCGCCGTGGTCTCTGCCATTGGGCAGGAGTTCTCCGGGCGGCTGTGTGAAGGCGCTCATTCCCTCGCCGCCTCCCGTCAGGGGCCTCCACGGCGCAGATGCTGCGGCCGCTCCGGTGTTATTTTTACTTCTGAAGGACAATTGGTGGTGTGCCACTCGAGGCAGCACTCAGCTTAAACGCATATGAATGCCCCTGACACTCAGCATCCTGTGCACAGATCCGCGAGGCTGTTGGGCAGGGTGGGGATGTGAGTGAAAAGCAGATTTGCATTTCCGTAAGACCCGGGGCCTGGGTGCGGAGCCGCGCTCAGTAGCTGCAAACGCGGGTTTGTTCTCCCGTCCCTGCTCGGTGGCGCTCTGGGAGCCTGTGTTCCGCTCTTATCTTCAAACGGCCGTGGCTCGTCTTCTGACGCCTCGACAGTCCCCTGCCCGGCAGCACCGCCTGCTCGCTGAGCGCCAAAGAAATGATAATATTGACAGAGCGTGCGTGTGCGTGTTGTGTGTGTGTGTGTGCGCGTGTTTGTGTGTGTGTGTGTGTGTGTGTGTGTGCATATCTGCATGCAGGGAGGGGGGGCAGAGGTTGCCTCTACCTGTTCCCAGACATTTTTTCTTTCCTTTCTCTCCTGACCTTTTTGCAAGTATCCTTCTTCCAGTAGGCCTCATTTCCCAGAATCGGTTCTCTCTCTGCTGCTCTTTGTCTATTTGCATCTGTGTGTGTGTCAGAGACACTGGTACACACGTGTCCAGGCGTGCACACTCACCCTGTGTATGACGAGAGAGGAACACCGATTGGCTGCCTCCAGCACGCCCTCTATCGGGAATGGAGCCCACCACCCTCGCCCCCCCCCCTCCCCACCCCGCGCCTGTGCCCCGCCAGCAACCCTCTCAGTGCCAGGCCAATACTTTACCAGCCGGGTCACACTGGCTAGGGCACACGATTCTCTCTCCAAGGGTTTCTCTCAAGAGGACTCCTAGAGGCAGTCTGACATGACTCCGCTTCGGTCTCATGTATTGGGGGCGCCCCCTGTGTGCAGAGGACTCAAAGGAAAGCATGTCCTAAAAGGGGGCCCCAGTGTTAGAGGGAGTCACGGGGACCCTCTGTCTGAGGGATGCTCAAGGCGCCTGGTCCTGGCTGGGGAGGGGACGTGTCCACGGCTCCTGTGGTGTTTCTGCTCCCTTGTTACATGTCACTGCTCACCTTCCACTGGAGCGCCGAGTCCCCGTGGGCGGGGGGGGAGGAGTGCCGTCGGCGAGGAAGGTGCTGCTCAGTGACCCCACTGCTGCCTCGGCCTGTCTAACCGGAGCCCCCTCTCTGCGCCCCTCTCCCCGCGCTCAGAGCAGCAAACAGCAGCGGTCCTCGCTGAGGGCCTCGGCCGCCTGCGGTGTGATTTCTCTGTGAGGGGGCGGGGGTGGGGGCGGAGGGGGGCTGTCAGATCCGAGTCGGCTATTGTCTCCTGGCAGAGGCCCATGGAATCTTTTTGTTTAAGCGTATTGTTTTCAAGAACGTTTCTGCGTTCTGGCTCTCCTGATTATGAAGAGATGTTCAGCGCTTGAATAAATGGGGTGGTTGATTTTATTCCATAAAAGGAAATAACAGAGAAGCCACTTCACCAAAAAAAAATCAAGGTCCCCCTCCCCCCAGTCAGAATAGCTGTGATGCTCAGATTGAATTGTTCCGCTCAGAAGCTGTGTGCCTCTGGGGTGGGGGCAGGCCCGTGTCAGGTGTCTGTGGTTGTATTTATTTATTATCATTATTTATTCATGAGAGAGAGAGAGACGTTGACTTGTTCCACGTTTCGATGCCCTGACAGGGGGTTGAACCCGTAACCTTGACCTATCGCGATGTCGTCGCTCTCGCCAACTGAGCTGCCGGGCGGGCCAGGCCTGTGTTTCTGTGATATTTTAAGTAAAGAAAAGAAACCTTGGGAAGGCGGGAGGGAGCAGGCCTCGATTTATTACCAGTATTTTCCGGCCTAGACTCGCCCACAGACCCACCTCTCTCTGTGTCCGTCCCGTCCAGCTCCGGGAGGAGGTCGGGAAGCTGGAGGACAAGCTGGAGTGCGCCAACACCGCGCTGAGGGCCGACTGGGAGCGCTGGAGGCAGAGCATGCGCCTGGACCTCACGTCCGCCTTCGCCGCCTCGGCCGAGCGGAACGTCCGCTACTACGAGCAGGTGGCTGACCGGGATGGCGTCCTCTGCCCTCCGCCCCCGCCCCGGCCCCGGCGGGGAGAGTGGGGAGGAGGCAGGTGCCACGTTCAGGGGCCTCTCGGTGCCCACAGACTGGCCAGGCGATGGGTGGCGCCAAGCCCGCCCGCTGAGACACGCGTGGCGATGACCAGGGAGGAGGGTGTGTTTTCTGTCTTCCTCTCCCGCACAAGCCCCCGGGGGGCTCACGCAGCCGAGCGCACCACGCGAGGGCATGCCGCTGTTTCCTCTGTGTCTTTCTACTCGTCTCTTGTTCTGGAGGATCCGGATTCCTGATGAGCACTTCGTCGTCTCCTCCCTCATTTCCTCTTTCCCTCCTTTGAAATATTTTAATAGGTTTCAGAGAGGAAGAGAGAGAGAGAGAAACATCAGCGATGAGAGGGGATCATTCACCAGCCACCTCCTGCACGCCCTCCCCCAGGGATGGAGCCCGCCGCCGGGCCTGTGCCCGACCAGGAATCGAACCCTGACCCCCTGGTTCACAGGTCGATGCTCAACCGCTGAGCCATACTGGCCGGGCTCACCCTTTCTTACGTGATAAAGGGTTTGCAAAGTGAGGAAAGAAAAAAACAATTTTCTTAGAAACAATTCAATTAGCATCACGTACCATATTGCCGTTTTGCAAGCTTAACACTTACCTCCAAGTAAATTACAGTTCTTTTTAAATTTTTAAGTATTTTTATTGTGTTTTTAAAATTGATTTTAGGGAGAAAGAGAGAAACATTGATGTGAGAGAAAAACTTTGATCGCTGCCTCCTGCAGCCCCAAATCTGGACAAGTGCCCTGGCCGGGAATTGAACTGGCAACCTTTTGGGGTTTGGTATCATGTTCAGCCATCTGAGCCACACCAGCCAGGGTGTCAATTATAATTATAACGAGAAGCCTGATGTACGAAATTCGTGCATGGGGGGGAGGGGACATGTCCCTCAGCCCAGCCTGCACCCTCTCCAATCTGGGACCCCCTTGAGGGATGTCCGACTGCCCTGAGGTCATTTTGCATATTAGGCTTTTATTATATGGTACGTGTGAACTTTATTGTAACTTCAGAAAAACACCCCCAGTTAGTTTTTTCCCAAGTAACTTCTCAGTGGTTGGCAGGTCAGCCCCAGCCCTTCAGGCCAGGCTCCCTCCCTCACTGGCACACAGACTGTGCGTGGGCCTGGACCGCCCCCCACTGCCTGCTGTTGTCGTTGTCATTAGCTTCAGCATCTCTCAGACACGCAGGGAAGTGGAATGCTCCAGAATCGTCCCCTTCCCTTTGTGAGTTTAATCACATTCTTATGGAAATACTTCTTTTTTCATCAACGTTTGCACAGACAAAGCCCCAGCGGGGTTTGTTTCCAGTGTGATGGATGAAATACAGAACGCACATTTGCCTCTGGACTTACTTTTATGAAGACAAATTGTCACAGCTGGTTTATAACATAAAATTTAAATACCAAAGTGATCGAGGGAAATCAGATTACGGATATAAGGCAGAGGTCTGTACCAGAAGCCAATTACTGTTGTGGCGAAATGTGCTTGGATGTGCGGATTTACCCAGAGGCGGTTGACAGCAAATATAAAGCAGGGATTTTATAAAATGAGGTCATTCCCACTTTGTCCTGTAGGATCGATAAGTAGGATGCATTTATTGAGTCTTTTTCTTTTTTTTTTTAAATGAGAAGAGCAAAACAATGAAACGTCAAATCCAGTTGGACGTGAGTGAATCGTTTCAAAGTCTACTGGTACCCAGGTAGCTGAGGACAGCCGTTCCCTGCCGCAGTGTGAGGGAGCACAGCCACAGCCATGCTGGATCAGCGTGGCCGTTTCCTAGCAGTAGCTGTTTGTGTATTGATGCTGATGATAGAAATGATGGTGTTAGAGATGCTGACATAGTGATGCTGAGATAGAGATGCTGACGATAGAGATGCTTATATAGAGATGGTGAGGGCATACCGCACGTGATGGGCTTGCTATGAGTAAAATGGATGATGATACGATGCAGCGAAAGTACACATGGAAGAGAAATGCCCCCGGATTGGCCCTTCCTGTGAGACTCTCCATGTGAGAATGAGAAGCGGAACAAAGGAAGTCCCTGCTCTCTCTTCAGCAGCCCTGAGTGTGCTCACAGGACAAAGCAGTAAAGCAATGGGCCACCAGGTGGCGTGTCTAGCCAATGAGTCCTTCTGCCTCCACCCTCGCAGTTCCTGTCTTCACAGAGGCACACGTTCACTTAGCAGATTCTTGAGAGAGAGAGAAGCAATTTTTAAGAAAATGCGCAGATCTCATCATTCTTAAGTTATTGGCATTCCTAAAATCGTACGTTGGCAGACGACTCTTAGACGTTTCTAATTCTCTGTCCCTCTCCCTTTGTCTGTAAAAATCAACAAAATATATTTTAAAAGTCAATGGAAAAATATGCTCCGATGAGATTAATAGAGTGTTTTAAAAAAAAAGAATTAAAGTGTGTGGAACATGCCGAAACCGGTTTGGCTCAGAGCATCGGCCTGCGGGCTGAAAGGTCCCGGGTTCGATTCCGGTCAAGGGCATGGACCTTAGTTGCAGGCACATCTCCAGTAGCGGGTGTGCAAGAGGCAGCTGATGGATGATTCTCTCTCATCGATGTTTCTAACTATCCCTCTCTCTTCCTCTCTGTAAAATATCAATAAAATATATTTAAAAAATAAAATAAAATGTGTGGAACAGGACAGGGGTCTGGTAAGCTGGTGGGAGAGGCGTGGGCGGGGGCTGTGGGCGGGTGAATGCTGACAGGAGCCACTGCTCACTCCCTGTGTGTTCCCTCCTCAGTGCCTTGCCACGTGGGAATCCTTCCTGGCCACACAGAGCGACCTCTACGCCAAAGAGCCCCCTGAGGACAAGCCTTAGTCCGCGGCCGCCGGCTTCAGTGGCCCCGGAGAGACCCATCGCCTGGCCAAGTGGTTCCCTCGGGATGGCTGTGTCCAGCAGGGGACGGAGAGCGTTCCCTTCGGTCTGGGATGCCGGCGGGGGGGAGCTGGGAGCTGGGAGCTCAGATGGCTGGCGTGAAGCGGGGTGTACGTGTATCGCCCAGTTTCCATTCCATTCTTATGTTGGTGTGCCCACCGTCCGTGAGATGGAGAATGCTTTGAGTATTTGTCCGTGGAACGCGTCATTCTAAATATATTGTAAAGACGCAATTTTAATAAAACGTTTGATACAAAAGGACGGGCTGTGGCATGTTCTTTTTCTGCAGAACCGGAAGGAGATTCTAATGTGAATTCAGCGGACAGTCACCCTGACCTCATCCCAGCTTCCTGGAGTTCGCTTCTACCTGAAGTATCGATTCCGAGGTCGGGTAGTCATCGCTCTTAGGTGCTCTATCGGAACCATCTGAGATGGTCACGTCTTCTGAAACCCTTGGCCTAACTATCGCCATCCATGCATCCCCTCGGTGCTAAGGCGCTGAGTGCACAGACACTCCCCTGCTGACAGGTGCCTGCCCACCGTCTGGGCGGCTGCAAGCAGTGATGGTCAGTTACAGAAGGGCCGTCAGCCCTCAGGAGCTTTAAGGCCCATGAGGAGACAGACATCGCACACAGACAGCAAGACATCTCCATGGGGCCTGCCTGGGTCCCTAGGGTCACCATAAGAAAGTCCCCCCCAGGACAGCAGGGAAGGGCAGTTAGGGGTGAACAGGTCACTAGGGGAGAGCAGTTAGGGAAGATCAGGTGGGCAGGGAAGAACAGTTGAAGGCGACCAAGCCAACAGTGGAAGGCAGTTGAGTGGGACCGGGCATGCAAGGGAGGGTAGTTGGTGGGGGAAGGGGGGCGCGCAGGCTTACGGGGAGGGCAGTTGGGGGCAACCAGGCCTTCAGGGGAGGGCAGTTGGGAGGACCCAGGGCTGCAGGGGAGGGCAGTTGTGATGACCAGGCTGAAGGGAGGGCAGCTGTGTGGGGGGGGGGCCAGGGCTGCAGGGAAGGGCCGTTGGGAGAGGGGGACCAGGTCTGCAGGGGAGGGCAGTTGTGAGTGACCAGACTGGCAGGGGAGGGTATCTTGGGGTGATTTGGCTGACAGGGAGGGCAGTTGGGGGCTATTGGGCCGGCAGGGGAGCAGTTAGGCATCAATCAGGCTGATAGGTGAGTGGTTCAGGGGTGATCCCGCTGGCAGGCAGAAGCAGTTAGGGGCAATCAGGCAGGCAGACATGCAAGCAGTTGGGAGCCTGCAGTCCTGGATTGGGAGAGGGATGTCTGACTGTGGGTTCATCAGTCTAAACGCCAGAGGGGTCCCCAATTGGAGAGGGTGCAGGCTGGGCTGAGGGTGCACCAGGCCGCTAGTTTCATTATCATCTGCCTGCATTTTGTTGGAGACAGCTCTTGGGGGAAACTCAGTCCAACCACAAATACAATATATTGAGGAGTCAGGGGTGCAATTTTTATTCTCTCTCTGCCCAGTCTTGGCTGCGGGCTGCCAGGGACCTGGAGCTCCCCGAGCAGACGCTGCCCTTTGAGCACGTTCGGCCAGGAGATGCCCTGGTCCGGAGAACGTGCCGTCTGCCCACGCTGGTTTGACTGTGTTTGAGGTTGTATCTTATAAACTGCTCTGAAAATGGCCACTTTATCCAAAACCGCCAACATCTGCACTGAAGAAGGTACGCCTTCCCCATGGACCCCACAGGCACCGGGCGGCGGATGGAGTGTCTCCCCCACCAGCTGGGTAGCTGGACCCTCTGCTCTTAAAGGGCCGGGAGCCGCCATCACAGACGACGCGTGGACACGCCTGTGTCAGGAATGAACGGAGAAGGGAGCTACCCTGGGGCCAGGCAGCTGGGTCGCCGGCGGGGTGACGAGCACGGATGTCCCTGTAGGGCAGTGGGAGGAGGAAACCGGAAAACAGCGCCCACGGGCGCCCACAGAGCTGGGAGTCCTGTCATCGCTCCCACCCGCATGGCGTTCTGCCCCGGCTGCTAAGGGACCCGGTGGATAGACAGCGCGTCACCTGTTTCGTGAGGCCTTGGGGCTCAGGAAGGGTTTGGCAGCATGTGTTTCAGGCCAAAACAACAGCGAGGCCTCCTGGGGTCACTGGTTCACACTGCACACCAGGCAGTGGGTGTACGTGGCCGCTCTGGCCACTAGGAGGAGCTGCAGGCCGCTCCATCCACGGCACATCACCCAGGACTCTGCTCACCTGCAGCAGCCAAAGACTTCAAGTGCCAGCGTCTAAAGCATTGGCATCTGGCCCGGCCAGTGTGGCTCAGTGGAAATACGGGTCCTCCCCTGAAGGTCTGGGCCTTGAATGGAGGTCTGATATCCAGACCGAGATCTGAGCCTTGGGGGTCTGTCTAGTAACTAGAATCTTTCCAAAAATCGGGACTTTTTTAAAACGCGGGACAAATTGTTAAAAATTGGGACCGTCCCCCGAAAGCGGGACATCTGGTCACCTTAGACGAGCCTGCATATTTAGATTCGGTAAAGGAATAGGCTATGGGTTCGAGTCTGGGTGCCTGGAATGGCCTTCTGGTCCTCACCATAAAGGTCTAAGACCCAGATGTAGATCTGAGCTCCGGATGGAGGTCTGGGTTCTGGGAGGGAAGTTCAGGCCAGGGAGGGAAGTCTGGGCCCCTGGGGGCGGTCTGGTACCGCTCCTGGACCTCCGGGTTATGGAAATGGTGTCTGGGTTACAAACTGAGAATTCCCCTGATACAAGACGGGATTCTGTGTTTGCGGCCTGGGCCCCGGGATAATCTTCTTGGCCCCGCCCTGATAGTCTGGGTCCCGGATGTAGGTGTGAGCCCAGGTGGAGGGCTGGGTGTTCTACCAAGGTGTGGTCACTAGGGGGCGCTATGGGCCCAGGTGGAAGTTTGGGGCAAAGGCAGGTATGATGAAATGGTGATCAGGACTAGCCTGGGTATGTGGACTCCAATTAAGGAAGAGGCACTGGCTTCCAAATGGTTCCCGCAATGGCCTCCTGGTCCTCGCCCTGGTCTGTGACCAGGAGGTAGGTCTGAGCCCCGGACGGAGGTCTGGTCCTGGGAGGGCCTTGGGGGCCAGGGAGGGACGTCTGGCACCTCAGCTGGACCTCTGGGTTATGGAAATGGTCTTCATGTCGCTAACTCCTCCCGTAAGCGGAACCAGAGGTGCAGGGGGATGGGCGGCAGGGCGGGTCTGGGTGGGACTTGGATATGGTAGGGCCGGGATAAACTGAGTGAAACGATGAAGGTTTAAGGAATGAATCTCAATTTATAACAGTATTGATTCCGATCAATGGCCACTTGGACCCTTTATAGACAGCTGGTCTGGCTCCCCTTGCATGGGTGCCTCCCCACATGGTCACATTCAGGCAAGGCCAAGCAAGGCCAATCAAGGCCAGGCAAGGCCCAGCATACTTGTTGTGCCTTGGGCAGTGGGAGGTGAGCGGAGGTGGTGTGTGTGTGTGTGTGTGTGTGTGTGTGTGTGAGTCTGGGCAGACCAAGGGCTGGCTCTCTCCCTGGGCTCTGGCCCCTGTGCGTGTCAGAGCCGTGCTCCAGGCCGTGCCGCGTGTCTATTAACACTAGGTGCAGCCGCAGGGCCCTCAGTGGCCGTGCGTGCGAACCAGGAAGAAACAGGGAGCACTTGGGGCTGAGATGGGGGGGCCCCTATGGAACCCGCCTGAGTGAAAAGCCCCTCATGGAGCTCTGACCAGTCTCGGGACACTGCCATCAACGGGAGACCCTGCTTCCTGCTCAGGACGCCGGGCCATCACTGGACTCCGCTCCTCCAGACGCCCAGCCCGCCGCCCCGTTCAGAAGCCGCCCGTCCACGGCCACACCGCAGTCGCCAGGAACCCACGTCCAAATAAATAGCTTTAATTATGGTACATTCCTGATTACAGCAGAAATTGGCATCTCCCCTTCCGAAGCAGAAGCACCAGTCTGAGAGGGACCGGGAACGGTGTGGTCGGGGGGTGGAGCGGGACCACGTGTGCACACGGGGCTCGCCCAGAGCACACGCTCAGGGGAGGGCCGCTCGCACACGGAGCTCGGCGGGCGGCCTGGTGGTGCCATGCGGCCGAGGAAAGGCCCCCAGGCACTCCGCGTCCGCCCGGCCTCCTCCTCGGCCGTCCGACGTGAACGGTGACAGAGCCAACGGCCCCGCCCGGAGGGGTTCCTCAGGCAGGTGTGACCCGTGAGTGTGCGGCGGTTTCTGTCCCCAGAGGCTCGGGGATTCTGGGAGAAACCCGGGGTGCTTCACGTCAGGGCCCAGGGGCTCAGCTGAATGCCTCCTGTGCGCCCTTCGTGCCGCCGGCAAGGGGACCGGGGAGAGGGGCCCAGCCGCCTCGGAGGAGCTCACAGTCCAGGGGGGAGACGGAGACGCTGACACGGACTTTAGACGGAGGAAAACCATCGGACAACAGGAGCCGCTCCTGCGCGGCCGGCCGGACGCTGGGCGCTAGGAGTGGACGGTGAAGAGGGACGCCGTCCAGTGCAGGGACGGCCCGGCGGCTCCGGCATCATGTGACTTCCGCGAAGGCCGTGATGTGGTTCTGCGGGGAGAGAGGGAGGAGTCAGGGACTGGGCGGGAATCAGTGCCTCTGCCTACCGTCCCCACCGGGCGGACGGCCGCCGCCCATGGGGGCTCAGGCTGCACACACACACGGTGTAAGTGTACGCTGTTCACTTAGGACGTTTTTTAAAAAAGGGGTGTGAGGAGCCCGGCCAGCGTGGCTCAGGGGGCGAGTGCCGACCTCTGAACCAGGAGGTCACGGTTTGATGACTGCTGGGAAGCAGTTAAGAAATGAACTGGAGACTCCTCCCTCGGCGGCACGGTGGGGAGGGGAAGGCGAGGCGGCGGCAGCTAAAGAGGAAGGAGAGGAGTTAGAGAGAAGATGGGAGGGGGCACGGACGGTACGCGGGCGGCCGGGTGCCGGGTCCCCTGGGCCTGGGTATGAAGGAGGAGGCACGGGCCTCTGCCCGTTCCTCTCATGGCCAAAAGCAGGCGCAGCCGGGCGGCGACGTGGAGGGCGGGACCGCTGATCGCCGTCAGCTTTGCAGAACGCGATGGCTCCCCTCGGGCCCCAGGCGGCTCTCCTGACGGCAGCTGGAGGGGACGAGCCAAGGACTCCGGTCCTCCCCGCCCAGCAGGCCTGAGCGCCCGGACGGAGGGCAGCGGGCCGGGCGGGACGTGTGTGCCGGCTCCGTCCCCACCAGCACCTCCTCGGGGACGTGAGAGACAGAACTGCGGGTGACACTCCCAGGTAGGTCACCGTGTGGGGAACGGGCTCCCGGCACACAGGGCCCGAGCGGTCTCCTTCCCGTCCGGCTGCACCGCATCTTGCAGCGGCCGATCTTACTAGAGAACCGTGCAAACATGCAGGGGCCACGCCAAAACACTCAGAAAAGCACGTCACTCAGAGTCCCGAGAAAAGGAGGTGCTCAGGGCGTCCCCCCAGAATGTGCGCCCCCTCACGGCGGACGGCTCCGCGGACGCCTCTCTCTTTCGGACTGAAAGCGTTGCAACGGGTAAGCATTCAGAGTGCAGGCGTTTTGGGGGGACACCCCACGTACCATGTACCAGTTCGACGGCTGCTTCTGCCGTCACACAGTCAGAGGCTTGGGGTCGGGGGGCAGGCGGGAGCCAGAGCTGAGAAAGCGCTGCCCCCCTCAGAAAGCATCGCCCAAGTTCACAGCAAGTCCACGAGCCAAATACCGAACCCAGTCCCTGAGGGCAGAACCCAGGTGGAGGGAGCCAGCACAGGCCCTGAGAGCAGCCCCAGTGCCGAGGGCCAGGCAGCTCGCCAACTTCTGAAGCTCTGTGCTCTCCGCGAACATCTGCATCCCAGCCCTGGCTGGTGTGGCTCAGTGGAAAGAGCGTCGGCCTGTGGACCAAAGGGTCCCAGGTTCGATTCCGGTCCAGGGGGCATGCTGGATCCCCAGTAGGGGGCGTGCAGGAGGCAGCCATTCAATGATCCTCACTCATTATTGATGTTTCTATCTCTCCCTCTGCCTTCCTCTCTGAAATCAATAAAAACCTATTTAAAAAATAGTCTGTCTTTCACTCTGGTGATTTCAGACAGCTCTGCGTTTACTTATGACCCGCAATGTGGGGGTGACTTGCCACCAGACAAGGCATGCCACTGGCGGTTTATTTATTTGCCTTTGGAAAAATGGGGGGAAAGCAAAAAAAAAAAAAAAAAAAAAAAAAAAGAGTAATTCATGTAGGAAAACAAGAAAAGCCATTCCAGCCCAGCCAGCATGGCTCAGAGGTTGAGTGTTGACCTGTGAACCAGGAGGTCACGGTTCGATTCCCGGTCAGGGCACACGCCCAGGTTGCAGGCTTGATCCGCAGTGTGGGGTGTGCAGGAGGCAGCCGATCCATGATTTTCTCTCATCACTGATGTTTCTCTCTTGCTCCCTCTCCCTTCCTCTCTGAAACTAATAAAAACGTGTGTGTGTGTGTGTATATATATATATATATATATATATATAAAACAAGAAGAGCCATTCCAGCGAGGGCTGTTGGGCTGGGGGTGCTGAGCTCCGCTCACGCGTGCACGCCCAGCGGAAGATAAAGGAGAATGGTGACGGGACCCAGACCCGTGGGCCTGCCCAGAGGGACGCGTTTCCGTATTTGCCTGAGCTGTCAGCTCAGCTCACACCAGTGCGCGCGCTCGGCGCACCTGCGTTTATTGCCTTATTCGGAGGTGCTCCCTGCGGCCCAGGCCCAGGAGCCAGCCGAAGAGCCGAGCCAGGCAGTCCTTGAAGGGCCTCCCCTGAGCGTGCTCGTCGCTGCCCTCCGCAGGCTGGCCGTGGGACACCTACAAAACGCAGCGCAGCCGTTACCGGGTGCCCCTGTCCCTGTGACTCACTCAGCGGGACAGGCGGAGTCTGACGCCCCGGGTCCCGGTGTTAGGCTGGAGGCTGAGGTCAGGCACCGCCCGTCTCCTTCCCTTCCAGCTGCTCAAAGGCAGCCTTTGTGTTTGAACAGGAGGCTGTCAGCACTGGCACAGGTTTGGGGCCTAAACAGAAACCAGGCTCTGTGCGGCAATGTCTTCCATTCAAGGACTCAGTCTTCGCTCGGCCTGGGGAAGCTGTGTGGCCGGTGGGCTTTGGAGTGTTTGCATGTGGGCCCCGACCACAGCATGTTCACATGTAATGCAGCCTCTCTGAGACCCGGCTCTCCGTCCGTGCAATGGGGGGAAGACCATTTACACATGTGTGTGTGTGTTTTTTTAATGAAGAGCAAGTGAGATCATATACACACACAAAGGCCCTGGTCTTCCCTAACATCTCATTATCTCATTATCTCATTATAGGCGTCTGTAAGAGCCACCGAGATAGCCTGACTACGTGACTCAGTGGTTGAGCATCGATCTATAAACCAAGAGGTCCCAGTTCGATTCCCAGTCAGGGCACATGCTTGGGTTTGGGGCTTGATTCCCCAGTGGGGAGCGTGCAGGAGGCAGCCAATCCATGATTCTCTCTCATCACTGATGTTTCTATCTCTCTCTTCCTCTCTGAAATCAATAATATATATATATATATATATATATATATATATATATATATATATTCATTTAAGATATATTTTATTGATTTTTTTTTAAAGAGAGGAAGGGAGAGGGATAGTTAGAAGCAGTGATGAGCTGCCTCCTGCACACCTCCCACTGGGGATGTGCCTGAAAGCAAGGTACATGCCCTTGACCGGAATCAAAACTGGGACCCTTCAGTCTGCAGGCCGACACTCTATCAACGCGGCATGCGGGAGCAGAGGGCGCGAGGAGGAGGGCGGGCGGAGAGTCCACGGTCTGCACTGCCAGTGACTCCTTCACCCGCGTCCTCTGACCGCCTCCCTGACTGACGGCCGCAGGAGCCGGGATCCGGAGATGCAGTGGGCAGCTCGCTAGCTATTCCCTCCACAGAGATGAGCAACATGGCTTGTGCTCAGAGGGAACTTACTGAGAAGATGCTTTCATGAAAGGCCTGTTAGATAACGCTGAAAACACCCGGCTTTTAATCTGTTGCAGAGTAGATTATAACTTGTAAACAGCGTGGAGAGGGAAGCACTGGATGTGGGAGGGCACACACAGGGAAGGGGACACGGCAAACCATAGCCACACGCGTGTGTCCTCCGAGCCCGCCATGCTGATGCCCACTGGGACATTTCACTCCCCTTTTCAATGGGCTCTTTAACGCGAAATGAAACGAGACACAGGAGAGCCGAGCGCAGCACGCCAGTGCTGACGGACGGCAAATACGTCTCCTAAGTGCTCGAAGCTCCGGCGAGAAAAACGGGCGAAAATACGAGGAGACTCAGTTCCTCGAACTATTCCAATAGCTGGTCCTTAATAACATGGTTCTGACAAGCTCCTACAGAGCGTTTCCGTTACAGCTCGGCGGCTCAGTAAAAGGAAGATCTGCACTTGAGAAAAGCAAGCACGACGTAGATGCATTCCCAGGCGTATCCGTGCAGCATGCGGAAGCCTCAGAGGGCCTTCTCCCAGTCAGCAGAGTCACGGGTAATCCCACCGGCCTTGGCAAGGAACCACACGCCTGTGTTGCTGTTGCTATGACACTAATCTACTCGGCATTTTTGCTATAAGACTTCCTGCCATATGCTCTACGCATGGCACAGACAATCTGCAAAAACATGCAAGTCCACAAAATAGCTCTGTGGGTATCCCAGTGTGAAATACAATGGAAATCCTAGTGAGGGAGTCACTCGTTTTCCAGGAGGGAGCTACTTTGATGTATGCACCAACTGCGTGCCAAGAAGTTTGTGACCTGTCATTTCAAACAGAGAGTGTGTGTGTGTGTGTGTGTGTGTGTGTCTGTGTGTGTGTCTGTGTGTGTGTGTGTCTCTGTGTGTGTGTGTGTGTGTGTGTGTGTGTGTGGGTGTGTGTGTGTGTATATATATATATATATATATATAGCTAATATGCAAAGTGTCCCTTAAGGAGTTTGACCAGGGACTGGGAGTTCGACTGCTCGCTATAATGTGCGCTGACCACCAGAGGGCGGTGCACCATGAAGGAAGGCCCCAGCTGGCAGCTGGAAGGCTCCCGATTGGCCCTGAATGCCGGCTAGGGGACCTAACTGTGCATGAATTTTGTGCACCGGCCTCTGGTTACCCTATAAAGGAACCATAATTGTACCCATTTTTTTCAGGTAAGGAGAAAAGGGGGAATTTGTCTGATCCTATTAGACTTTATGTAGCCAAGCCAACCCTCCACCCCAGGGCTGCCCTGCAAAAGCGTGGCTCTCCCTCCCCGCCCCCCGCCCCTCTGCCTAACCTGCAGCTCAGGCTTCACCTTGACACTGTGATGTTCTAACCTTCGAAACAGCCCGTGTGTTTGCTTCGCTGGGTCATTGCGAGTCCCCTCAGAACATTCCTGGCCATGTAATTGCCCTACACGGTTGCCACGGGAACGGAACATGGTAATTTCCGTCCGAGGCGGCACACACTCCCTGGCTTCCCCCGCTCTGCTCGCCACCTGCATTCAGGCGGCGCCAATCTCAGCCACGGGCGCTCCTACACGCACAGCATCTTGGGTAGTCAGGCTGGGGCCCTGTACCGGAACCACAGGGCTGTAATTTGCAAACTATTCCTGGCATTCGCTCCCCTTGCTTGTCCTTGGCAAGGAGGACTTCCCTTTGTTTCAGTGAGATCACCTCAACCCAAGAGAAAAGGAATTATGTTCTCAGAAAGCATTTCCTAACCGCTGACTTACCGCTCAGCGTCATCCCGAATGGCCGGGCGGCTCCGGAGGCCTGGCCTCACTGCCAATAAAGCCTGTAGATACCGATTCCTCTGAGATCGGTTGGAACTATCCAATCCCACCCATGGCTTACGTTTATTTTGAAAGGTTTTGGGGAGGAGAGAATGCCCCTTCCCTCAGACGTTCTGTACGGCAGCCCTGGGGTCAATAAGGCACAGGCGTGCAGGGCTGACGTGTGCTCGCCTGTGCAGAGCTGAATGCCGCCTTACAGGGAGACGCGTGGGGGCAGGAAGGACAGGACAAGCCTGCCCAGCGCTTTGCGGCTGCCATGACAGCAGCCTGGCCCCAAGGGTCCTGGGCCAATGCATGGACTCCCTGCGATTAGGTCTGGGCAAGAAAGCCCTCTGAAGGGAAGACAGGAAAATGCGGTAGGTGAAAGGGCAGAGGGTGAAAGGGCAGAGGGTGAAAGGGCAGAGGGTGAAGGGGCAGAAGGTAAAAGGGCAGAGGGTGAAAGGGCAAAGGGTGAAAGGACAGAGGGTGAAAGGGCAGTGGGTGAAGGGGCAGAGGGTGAAGGGGCAGAAGGTGAAAGGGCAAAGGGTGAAAGGGCAGAAGGTAAAAGGGCAGAGGGTGAAAGGGCAAAGGATGAAAGGGCAGAGGGTGAAAGGGCAGTGGGTGAAAGGGCAGAGGGTGAAAGGGCAGTGGGTGAAAGGGCAGTGGGTGAAAGGGCAGAAGGTGAAGGGGCAGAGGTGAAAGGGCAGAGGGTGAAAGGGCAGTGGGTGAAGGGGCAGAGGGTGAAAGGGCAGAGGGTGGAAGGGCAGTGGGTGAAGGGGCAGAGGGTGAAGGGGCAGAGGGTGAAAGGGCAGAGGGTGAAAGGGCAGTGGGTGAAGGGGCAGAGGGTGAAAGGGCAGAGGGTGAAGGGGCAGAGGTGAAAGGGCAGTGGGTGAAAGAGCAGAAGGTGAAGGGGCAGAGGTGAAAGGGCAGTGGGTGAAAGGGCAGTGGGTGAAAGGGCAGAGGGTGAAGGGGCAGAGGGTGAAGGGGCAGAGGTGAAAGGGCAGTGGGTGAAAGGGCAGAGGGTGAAGGGGCAGAGGGTGAAGGGGCAGAGGGTGAAGGGGCAGAGGGTGAAGGGGCAGAGGTGAAAGGGCAGTGGGTGAAAGGGCAGTGGGTGAAAGGACAGAGGTGAAAGGGCAGTGGGTGAAAGGGCAGTGGGTGAAAGGGCAGAGGGTGAAGGGGCAGAGGGTGAAGGGGCAGAGGTGAAAGGGCAGTGGGTGAAAGGGCAGAGGGTGAAGGGGCAGAGGGTGAAGGGGCAGAGGGTGAAAGGGCAGTGGGTGAAAGGGCAGTGGGTGAAAGAGCAGAAGGTGAAGGGGCAGAGGTGAAAGGGCAGTGGGTGAAAGGGCAGAGGGTGAAGGGGCAGAGGTGAAAGGGCAGTGGGTGAAAGGGCAGAGGGTGAAGGAGCAGTGGGTGAAAGGGCAGAGGGTGAAAGGGCAGTGGGTGAAAGGGCAGAGGGTGAAAGGGCAGTGGGTGAAAGGGCAGAGGGTGAAGGGGCAGAGGGTGAAGGGGCAGAGGTGAAAGGGCAGTGGGTGAAAGGGCAGAGGTGAAAGGGCAGTGTGCTTGCTGGAGGGCGATGGGTGGTTTTCTCAGTGACCCCACCAGCAGCAGGTCCTGTGCCACAGGGGTTCCTGAGCGGGTTCAGGGGCCCGGCCTTGGCTGCCCCGGAACGCACCCCCGGCCCGCCTACTGCTGCCGCGGCCTGGCCGGCCACCTGGGAGCGGACGCGCCGTTTCCGTGATGAGCAGCACACGCCGCCCTCTTACCGCACAGGGGGCTGCTGGCGAGGACGTGCCCTGAGCCAGTCCTGGGGAGAGAAGCACGTTTCCTCATTTGCCAACAAACCTGCTGGACTGGACCGGCAGGTCGGACCGTCTTGGTCACGGCCGCCTGTCCACGGAGGAGGGAGAGGGCCGTGTTGTAGGAATGAGCGCACGTCCTCAAGCTCAGCCCCCTGTTCTTGGTCTCTGCAGGAGCCCGCCGCCCCGGGCCGCCCCGCGCCGCCCCGCGCCCCGCTCTGCACAGCCCCGGCTCTCCGGGCGGTGCTCAGCGGGCGGCGGGGGCGGGACGTTTTGGGGGGACCGCCCTTTCCCCCCGGGGGTCAGGGACTGAGTCCTCGCTGGACGCCGCTGAGACAGGCCGCCGTCGCGGTGAACGGGAAAGGACTGCGGTGGCACCGGGGCCAATCCTCCTCCGCTCCGGGCGAGGACACATCCCGGACCTCACCATGACATCACCATGACATCACCATGACATCACCATGACATCACCGGCAGCGTTACCTTCTCCAGGGGGCTCGCCGCCCGCGGGATGCTGATCGTCCGCGCGTGGGCCAGGGCCGCCCCGGGCGGGTGCTTGCTCTCGGGCTGCCTTCCTCGGAAGTTGTTCACCACGCACACCACCTGGCGGTCAGAGGAGACGCAGCGTTAGCAGAGTCAGGCGCTCTCGATGATGACCTTGGAGTCTCTCCGTAAGTCGAATCCTGATAAGGAAGCACTAAAACTACTTGACTATGACGTGTACGTGACTTCACACCCAGGCTTCGCTGGTATAAACCCGAAACAGTTACCCCAGGTGCGTGTGTGTGTTCAAGAAAATCCATCCATCAACGTTAGCTCAGCCCGGGTGCAAGCCCGCGGCTGAGCATCACCCTAGGAGCCGGGAGGTCAGGGTTCGATTCCTGCTCAGGGCACAGGCCCGGGTTGTGGGCTCGCTCCCCAGTGGGGAGCGTGCAGGAGGCAGCCCATCGATAATTCCCTCTCATCATGGATGTTCCTCTCTCTCTCCCCCTCCCATCCTCTCTAAAATCATTACAAATGTCTTTTTAAAAATGCTTAACTCCGTTAGTCATGACAACGTTACGATTCCAAAATGTTCATTAGATTAGTTAACAGCCCATGCGCAAACGAATCCAAAAATAACGTCGTAACCTAATAAAGATGCAGAGCGAGCTGACCTTTCCCGGCATGGCTCACCTACAACGTAATTTAAATGCTAATTATTTCCCCTCGAGCCAAGGTCACGGAGCACTCCGCAGGAACAGCGCACACGCGCCTCCACCTCCGACTGACTGAGCCTGGCTACTCTCTCCGATCCTGTCGCGTGTGGACGCGGCATTTCCCCAGCAGCTCAGGCCACTCCGGAGCCGCAGGCCTTTCTCTGAGAGGGCGGCCCCATGCCAGCCGGTGTACCCCAGGGACCCAGGGCCTCGGGCTGCGGCTCCCGGCCCCGCCTGGGTGACACCCCGGGGTTCCTGGGTGATGCCCTCTGTCTGGTTTGGTTTTGCTCCCCGTGAACCTGCCTCCATGTGGAGCGCGAAGGCAGCCCTGGGTCCATGGGCTGCTGGGCAGGGAGGGGGCGGGAGGGACCCGTCTCCCGGGGCCTGGGGGAGCCAGAGGGATGGCATCGGGAGGAGAGCAGCGGGGCGCACGCTGGGGACGGGACGCAGCGGCCCCTCTACACTAAGGTGACCAGACGCCCCGCTTTTGGCGGGACAGTCCCGATGTTTAACCATGTGTCCTGTGATATCTTTAAAAAGTTCCGATTTTTTAAGATGCCGCAGGACGCGGGACAAAATGTTAAAAATTGGGACTGTCCTTGCCAAAACTGGTTTGGCTCAGTGGATAGAGCATCGGTCTGTGGACTGAAAGGTCCCAGGTTCGATTCCGGTCAGTCAAGGGCATGTACCCTGGTTGCGGGCACCTCTCCAGTGGGGAGTGTGCAGGAGGCAGCTGATCGATGTCTCTAACTCTGTATCCCTCTTCCTTCCTCTTTGTAAAAAATAAATAAAACATATATATTTTTTAAAATCGTGACTGTGCCGCCAAAAGCAGGACATCTGGTCACCTCACTCCACCCAGGGCGTCCCCGAGGAATGGCCTCTAACAGGCCCGGCACGTCTGGTTCCCACGCAGCCGGCCCCCCGCGGGGCATTCCACGGTGGAGGCGGCAGGGAGCACGGGGGACTGCGGAGCCACCGAAAGGAAACCGGACGGGAAGGGAAGAGCATTCGGCGTCGCCGCGGAAGCGGGCTGCAATGGAAGTGGGCGCAGCTTTCCATCGGGGTCCAAGGTCCGCCACTCCTGCGGATGGACCGGGAACCCCGCAGCGGGCGGGAGTCATCTCCCAGCAGCCATCGCTACGAAGCGCTCCGGGAAGAGTGCCAACGAGGAGCGACGGCTCAGGCCGTCCCCGTGTGCCCTCTAACGCCTGCCATGGCCGCTGGGAGGAGCCTGGCCTTGGGAACATGGGGTTTGGTTACCGGAGGGACCCAGGCCCTGTCACCAGGGAGGGCCCCTGCTGGGGAGACTGTGGCTGGGACAGGTGCTCGTGGAGGGTGCTGGCACAGGGGCGCCCACCCTCATGGCAGGCTCCACCCTCGGTCCTGGTAGCAACCCATCGGAGTGTCCCTCTCACATCAATGTTTCTCTCGGTCTCTCTCTCCCCCCCTCTCCCTCCACGCTCTCTAAACAAACACTCAATGGAAAAACATCCTCATTGAGGATGGACAGCAGCAAACACGCCCCACGCTCTGCCAGTAACCATGTACTCACCAGGAACACGGCGATGGAGATGCCGACCAGGAAGCCGGCGATGACGTCGGCCCAGTGGTTGCGGTGCTCGGCCACGCGGTTGAGGCCGGTGAGGAAGGCCAGGCACAGGAGGCCCAGGCACAGGACCGGCTTCGCCAGGCGCGTGCCCTTGGCATTGACGGTGCTGGTGATGTACATCTGAAACGCAACAGAGACACGCTGTGCACGGGCAGGTCCACGCGGGCGCCACACGTATGTATGTGCACATGTGTCTACAGGCGAGCACATGCCTATGGGGCTCAACCCTTCATGCACTTTATGAATTCTCTGGAGGACGTTTCCTTAAAGCGGAATTTAAGGGCAGAGGTTATTTAATTTATTTGCCCCAAATCTACTAGTAGCGAGTTCTTATGTGATATGTTCATCCCTCAGGAACACCAGGCTCAGCCCTTCCACAGGGCCTTGTGTTTTAAGCATTCAGTGCTCCTGTTTTATATGAATTTACATTTTAGATCAATGTTGTTAGCAGGGGAACACTGAGGAAAACATGTTATTTTTTTTTTTATTTTATTTGAGAGAGAGAGAGAGAGAGAGAGAGAGAGAGAGAGACATCGATGTGAGAGAAACAGATTGCTTGCCTCCTGTATGTGCCCCAACCGGGACTGAACCCAAAACCTAGGTATGTGCCCTGACCGGGAATCAAACCCACCACCTCTGGCATACAAGATGATGCTCCAACCCACTGAGCCACACCGGCCAGGGCTGAAGACACGTCCTTAACATCTCCATTTCATACACCATCTGAGTGGACGCATGCTGGACAGAAGCAAAACTTGTGGATATAGTCATAAAAAGCGAAATGGAGCAAACTTTTACTACATAGCACATTGACGATGGCATTTAAGGTTCAACACGGTGCCAAGACCTGTTTTCAGGTTGGTACCTGAAATTGCAATTTCAGGTGCAATGACTTTACATTTTATTGGCCACAATTAGGGCAACACAGAAACTTAAATACAGACAGAAAATGCCAGCTAAAAACAAAACAAAACAATGAGCAGATGTGTACATATGTGGTATGCTCACATGTGCAAAAAGAACATGTCAGCTGATGGTAGTGAGTGGCATGTCCTCCAGTGGCCAGCATGACGCTCAGGAAAAACTCATTCTTCCCTGCATCTGATGGATTCTGTAGCGCAAGTGCTCATCCTTTACCTCTTGTTACTATGGAAACCAGTCGGCTGACGGCAGGGGCGGGGCCCGTTATTATTCACGTCACGTGAGGGGATGATAAAAGGATGCTCTGACTGCCGTATGTTTTTAGGGTGTCGATGTCGGTATGTGGCTGATGCCGATAACACAGACTCAGAAACACACTTCCTGGGGTCCTGAGTCCAAGAAAAAAGGCGTTTGCCCACCACGGCCGGTGGCTCCATTGTGAGAGCGTCATCCCCATAGGTCAAGGTTGTGGGTTCGATCCCCGGTCAGACCACTTATAAGAATCACCCAATGAGTGCATAGATCAGTGAATCAACAAATCCGTGTTTCTCTCTCTCCCTCTCTCTAAAAATAAAAAAAGTTGCCTAAGAGAGGAAACAAAGACCGACGCTCACGGTGTCTGTTCCTGGCCCCCACTTTAGAGGCTACGAAATCCGCGATCACCTTCTCTCCTGTCGCTGGTGATTGTGTTTTGCTTTTTCCTGGGCCAAGTCTGCGGCCCTGTTGGCTGTGGCAGAGGCTGTCTGATGTGAACAGCGATGTGACCCACAGCGTCTTTCCCGCCAGCTTTCAGCCCGTCTGCCCCAGGTGCCCGTCTACCCCAGGTGTCATCCCAGGTGCCCGTCTGCCCCAGGTGCCATCCAGGTGCCATCCCAGGTGCCCGTCTACCCCAGGTGCCCGTCTGCCCCAGGTGCCCGTCTGCCCCAGGTGCCCGTCTACCCCAGGTGCCATCCAGGTGCCATCCCAGGTGCCCGTCTATCCCAGGTGCCCGTCTACCCCAGGTGCCCGTCTGCCCCAGGTGCCCGTCTACCCCAGGTGCCATCCAGGTGCCATCCCAGGTGCCCGTCTACCCCAGGTGCCCGTCTGCCCCAGGTGCCCGTCTGCCCCAGGTGCCCGTCTGCCCCCGGTGCCATCCTCCAGGGAGAAACAGATGCTGTTTCCGGGCTGGCAGGTCTGCACACTCCCCGCTGGGCGAGCTGCCTAACCCGGGGTCGTGGGGGGGAGCGCAGGGAGGGGGCCCGGGAGGAGAAGGCCCGCTGCGGCTGTCCTGAGAGGCGGTGAGCGCACTGCCCACAGGGACAGCCAGTGAGGACACGGCCGCCTCGGCCTCCGGGAGCGCATCTAACGCTGCAGCCCCAGCGCGGCTCCTGCGTGAGCAGGGAGGGAGACCGGGGCTGCTTGTGAGAGTTTCATTCACACGGTGCTGAGGCTGATAGTGGGTTTTTTAGAGAGAGATAGGGAGGGGGAGAGAGAAACATCCATCGTCTGTCTCCCGCACCCCCCTCCCCCGGGGGATCCAGCCAGAAGGCAGAGCGTGTGCCCGGACCGGGAATGGGATGGGGAATGGGACCGGGGACCCATTCAACCAGCGGAGCCACAGAGCCAGGCTAGCGAGCTCTCGTGTTGCATTTCTTCACACCTGTGAGAACTCTAGACACAGGAGGAAAGTTCCAGAGCTTTCCCTTACCCCAGGCAGCCCTGCGGTGCTCCCCGGGCGCCTGTGAGTCAGTCTAATGCTGTTATCTTTACAGAAAGCCTGTCTGATCCGAACGGGCAGGAGAGGGAATCATGGCGGAGGAACGGAGTGAGCGAGTTGGACACGGGACAGGAATTGATTATTTATGCTCGCTTGGTTTTTAATTCACTTAGGAAGCCATCTAGACTAACCAGATGTCAAAATGCAGCTAAAACAAAGCACAAACAGAAGGGCCCAGAAGGGCTGGGAGTTCAGGAGACTGCAAAGAAAATGGATGCAGAACGTCTCACCGGTATTTTCATGCCTAACTTACCGGCAAGGGGGCAAAGGGCCTTAGACGATTGTATTTGAGAATCAAGAGTGACCATCTACCCTGGCTGATGTGGCCCAGTGGATAGAGCATCGGCCTGTGGACCAAAGGGTCCCGGGTTCCACTCCGGTCAAGGGCACGTAGCTCGGTTACAGGTTCCCCCCTGGCCTGGGCCCTGGTCGGGGCTCCTGCAGGAGGCAGCCCATCGAGGTGTCTCTCTCACATCCGCGTTGCCCTCTGTCTCTCCCTCTCGCTTCCCCTCTCCCTAAAAATCAACGGGAAAACATCCTCAGGTGAGGACTGACAACAACAGGAAAGAGTAGCTGTCCTCTCTTTGGCAATGCCCTGGGGGCGGGGATTGTAAGGGGCACCGAGGTGCTTCCCCCCAGCGGGTCCTGAACGGGAGGCAGCAGGTGGAGCCGCACGCGGGAGCTGAGAACAGCCTCCGCGCTCAGGACCAGCCGGCCGCGCAGCGAGGGTCGGACGGGCCCAGGGTGGTGGCCGTCCCGGGCCAATGGCCGATGGAGGCTCGGCCTGAGCAGCAGCCCCTTTGTGGCCCACACCGCTGCCCCGTTCCCGCCGCAAGGCCCTGGCTGGCTCCACGGGGGCCCATTCTCCCCCCCCCCCCGACCCCCTCTCCCTCCGGATAAATATACTGTCCCCACGGCCCTTCGCCCATCGGCCAGGAGAGCAAGAGCCCTCGGAGGGGGCGCTGTCTGTCATCCGCAGAACGGAGAGCCACGCCCAAAGTGCTTCTTTAGCTGGGATACACGTGTTACATGGCTGCCTCCCGCGCGCCTCCACGGGCGATGGAGCCCACAACCCGGGCCGGGCCCTGATGCGACAATCGCACCGCGGCCTCCTGGTTCACAGGTCGGTACTCAACCCCTGAGCCACAGGGGCCGGGCTGAAGTCCATCTTACTCTCCCTGGGAAATAAACTTGGCCCGTTTCATAGGAAAACACACGCCACCGAGCTAAATTTAAATAGCATCCCAATGCCACTCACACTGGATCGCAGACTCAATGACGGAGGGATCGATGACCTTCAGAACGGTTTTCCCCTCCTGGGAAACCAGCCGCATTTGCAGAAATGGGCGTAGGGATTTCCCCCTAATAGTTCTCAGGGAAGGAAAAGGGAGGATGTCTGCGATCCAGTTACCCCCAAGCCCTTAGGGAAAGCCGGGCGCTCGGGGAGAGACCCGTTCCTTCCTGTTCTTCCCTAAACCACCAGGAGGAGCATCAGGCAGACGCCGGTGCACACCCACAGGCGCCGGCACAGGGCTCACCGCTCCTTCCCCGCTCACAGCCAGCTGCCCCCGAACGCGGGGCGCGCCTGTCCCGCCATGGCGGAATCACTCCCTCCGAGATTTGCCTACTTAGCACAACCTGGCAGGCGCTTCCCCAGACCGCACTGGCCGGAAACACCCGGCGCGCCTGCTATGGGGCCCCCCGAGCTGCCTGTGGGGCGGGAACAGATCTGCACAGGTTCGCGGAGAACAGCACGGCGGCTGGCGGTGCCCACGCGGGCAGTGGGAGGCGGGCTGGGTTGCCATGGCAGCCGCCCACACGCCCCTGGCTCCGGGTGGCGGGGGCCGTTCGCTTGGAGCAGCACCTATTGTTACAGCGACAGCCAGCGGCTCCCCGCCCTGTAATTACCTGCCCACGGCCCGCTGTGCGGACGCCGCCTGATGTGAGGTTCCCGAGTGCCGGGGCCTTCCAGAACGTTCTTCCCCGAACGTCTCTGCCCTCTGAACCCCAGCCTCTGACCTCAGGGAGGCCGGGACCGGGCGGGGGCAGGGAGGAAGTCACCTGACCCCCCCCCCCACTGGTGGCGCTCAGGGGTGAGGGACCCCCTCTCTGGAACATTCTGAATCACTGACGTCGGGGCAGAGTGTGGTTCTACGGATCCGGGCAAGTCCCTTGGCCTCATCCTCATCCGTGACGTGGGCATGGCGAGAGGGCGTGCTGCGTGCGAGGAGCCACAGTGAGAGCCCAGTGGGTCAGTACAGAGGACAGATTACATCATAATGACAATAAAGGAAGAATACACTGTAATGATGCCCCCACAAGAATCCTAGCTACCAATATGCAAATTGACCATCACTCCAACACACAAGATGGCCGCCTGCATGTGGCCACCACAAGATGGCCAGCAAGAAAGGGCAGTTGTGGGTGATCAGGCCAGCAAGGGAAGACAGTTGCGGGGAGGGGGATCAGCCTGCAGGGGAGGGCAGTTGGGGGGAACCAGGCCTGCAGGGGAGGGCAGTTGGAGGGAACCAGGTCTGCAAGGGAGGGCAGTTAGGGGTGACCAGGCTGGCAGAAGAGAGCAGTTAGGGGCAATCAGGCCGGCAGGGGAGCAGTTAGGCATTGATCAGGCTGGCATGGGAGTGGTTAGGGGGCAATCAGGCAGGCAGGGGAGTGTTGGGAGCCAGCAGTCCCAGATTGTGAGAGGGATGTCTGACTGGGGTCAGGCATAAACGGGCAGTCAGACATCCCTAGAGGGGTGCCAGATTGGAGAGGGTGCAGGCTGGGCTGAGGGACACCCCCCCCCTCCCGCTTCCCATGCACAAATTTCATGCACTGGGCCTCTAGTTGGTGTATAAATTAGCAACAGTCCAGCACGTTGTGCCTGGCACTAGGACATGCTCAGTCAATGTTATTGTTATCATTACAAACATCCCCGAGAGAACTTAGAAAAGGAGGACCCCTCTCCCAGCCCCATCAGAGCCCATCGGGGCGTGAGTAAGCAGCGAGGAGGCCGGTGAGCTCCCTTCTCAGTGCTCCTGCGAGTTCACGGGGACTGACCGCCCCGGACAGCTGTGTCCATCCCGCCCCGTTCACCACGAGACAGACATGGTCTCCAACGGAAACGCAGGCGGCCATGTTTCCCAACCACCCACTCCCCACGCGGCACCTCACGAGACTCACTTCCCTCCCGGTGCCGACAGCTCCGACCGGGCCGGCGCAGGAGCTGCCACGGGGGCTCCTGGCTGGGCGGGGGCCGGGCCCACTTACCGTCAGGTACACGGCCGCGTACACGCTGAGCGCCGCCTCCTTGGAGGGGAAGGTCTTGCGGGCGCGGAGCACGAGCTCGGGGTCGCCCGTGCAGGCCTCCTCGCCGCTGATGAACTGCGTGAGCTGCTGGCAGCCCAGCGCCGTGTAGTTGGGCCGGCACAGGGCCAGGAAGTGGGGAGCCAGGTTCCCCGTCACCACCTGCCCCGCGTTCGCGAAGATGTCCGTGGCGAACAGGCCGAACGTGTAGACGCCTGGAAGCGAGAGGCAGCCGTGAGCGCCCGGGGCTGTGTCCCGGTCCCCGGCGAGCCGGCGAGGAGAGACCCCAGGGCCCGCCCGGAGGCACCCATCCCGCCGCACACGGCTCCCCAGCACCCTCCTCCCCTCCACCCGCCCCGGGCCCTGGAGGCGGCGCTGCGCCAGCGCACAGCCCGGCCGCCACCTCCGCGCTCGGTGACGCGTGGCGGGCTGTCCGACAAGAAGGCGCCTTCCGAGCCTGCGTGTGGGACTGGGTTTTTGTGAATGGAGCCAGGGCTCCCGAGCAAGGCCGCCGTCTGTCACCTCGGTCTTTATTAGTCCCCGTTTTGAAAGTATTTTTTTTTTAAATATATTTTTACTGATTTCAGGGAGGAGGGGAGAAGGAGAGAGAGAGAGAAACATCATTGATAAGAGAGAATCATGGATTGATGGCCTCCTGCATGCCCCACACTGGGGATGGAACCCAAAATATATATATATATATATATATATATGAGAGGGAGAGAGAGGGAGAGAGAGAGAGAAAGAGGGAGGGAGGGAGGGAGGGAGGGAGAGGGGGGGGAGAGAGGGAGGGAGAGGGAGAGTTAGGAAGAGAGAGAAACATTGATGGGTTGCCTCCGTATGGACCTCACCAGGACCGAACCCGCCAGTTTCTGGTGCCCGGATGACGCTCCCGCCTGCGAGCCGCCAGGGCACCAGGCTGTTTCCAGACGGAGCCAGCGCAGCTCGGCGCGTACGTACCGAGGAACCGCGCCGTCCGCCGCACCAGTGGGTTGATGTAGCAGCAGTCCCCGGTGAGGACGGTCTTCTCCTGGCTCTCGAAGTCCCGCGTGGCCAGCTGCAGGCAGAACACCGCCGTCTCGCCCACTATGATCTTGCAACGAGACAGAAGGTGAAGGACCATGCGACTCTGACCCACGCGAAGCGGGACCTTGTATCCAAAGAGCAACAGAGGCGCCTCCCGGCGTGGCAGGAGTCTCAGGGTCACACGGATCGCCTGCCTCGCGGGGCCCGCGACGGTAACGGAGTCCCCTTGTGTAGAGCCCACACTTCTCTCGGCCAGGGGAGTCCGCGACGGGTACGCTATGGGCACGAGGGGACGGTAACAGCCTTGCCCCACGGAAGACCGTTCAAGTGCTGGGACTCTATCCTAAGAACACCGTCAGAGGAACGCATGCATCCCCTATGTTCACAGCGGCACAGCGGACAACGGTGAGATCTGGAAACAGCCCACCTGCCCATCGGCAGGTGAGCGGATAGACCAGCTGTGGTGAGTGGAGGGAGGAGGAATTGGTAAGATACGTACACATAGAATGCCTTAATAAAAAAAAAAAATGAAAAAAAATTATAAAAATAAAACAGCTGTGATACACCCTGGAAGACTACGCGGCTGTGAACACAGCAGGATCTCTGTGACAGGATGGAGGACATGGAGAGCATGATGCTGAGCGAAATAAGCCAGTCTGAGAAGGACAAGTGTCACATGACCTCACTCACACGTGGACTCTCATGAACAGCATAGCCCGATGAACAGAATGGCATTGGAAGCATGGACACCTGGCCCCCGGCTGGCTGGTGCCTGAGGGGACACCTCCCCTTTGCCTCAGTGTCCTGCCCCTCAAACAGCGATGCCAGAAGCTCCGCCATCGCGGCCTCGGGGGGTGGGGGGGGCAGGTGCTTAGGTCCCCTGAAGAGGGCCATGGGGGCGGGCCCGCAGCTCACACATGGCCCATTCGATGGCCTTGGAGGCCCCCCACCCCAGAGCCTCCGAGGGGCTGGCCCTCGGGGTGAGGGGAGCCTGGGAGAGGGTGCAGCAGAGAAGTGGGTGTTGGGCACGTGGTGCCAGAGACAGAGCCGTCACCTGGGAGTCCACACGTGCACCGCTGTGTTCATGTGGACCAGCGTCACCCCAACACATTTAATCAATAAAAATAAAGGACATATCTTTGTGGGGGAAAACAGCAGCTGAGAGAGCGGGAAGTCCCAACAGGAATCTCGTGTGTGTGTGTGTGTGAGTGTGTGTGTGAGAGAGAGAGAGTGTGTGTGTGAGAGTGTGTGAGTGTGAGTGTGTGTGAATGTGTGTGTGTGTGTGAGTGTGTGTGTGTGTGTGTGAGTGTGTGTGTGAATGTGTGTGAGTGTGTGTGTGAGTGTGTGAGTGTGTGTCTGTGTGTGTGAGTGTGTGTGAATGTGTGTGTGTGTGTGTGTGTGTGAGTGTGTGTGTGAATATGTGAGTGTGTGTGAGTGTGAGTGTGTGAGTGTGTGTCTGTGTGTGTGAGTGTGTGTGAATGTGAGTGTGTGTGTGTGTGTGTGTGAGTGTGTGTGTGTGTTGATGGGGGCTGGGGGTAGGAAGGAGGGGTTCCACTCCAAGTCCAAAAAAAGAGCTAAAAGTTACAAGTTGTAAGCCTGAGAGTCACAGGAGCACAAGCTTCACATTCCCAGCTGCCCCGGGGGCACCATTTCCCGCCGTCGTTTCACAGAGGAGCATGGGCAGCGCGGAGGCTGTAGCTGAGGGAGGGCACTGGGGAGTCAGTCCCGGGCCAGGGCTCCCTCCGCCGGCCAGCTCCGGGCCGGCCTGCCTGGCGCCGGCTCGGCTCTGGCTCTATTTTGGGAAGACGCGTCTGGCGGCTCAGAGCTCTCCGGCGTGACTTCCGCGCGGAGGAGTGTCGCTTCCTCCCGTTAGCTCTCCCGTGACAGCCGCGGGCCCGGCGGCCGGCATCACGCTGACGGGGCCTGAGGAACCCGTGTCCTGGGCACGGTCCTGAGGGTCCGGCCTGGCCTGGGTCCCAGACCCGCTGGGGAGAGTGAGGAAACGCCAACGGCTTCTCTCTTCTTAGGAGAGACTGGCCTTTGGGGAGGACAATTGAGCAAAAGCACCAGGCTCTGCAAGAAAGAGAAGCTGAGAAAGGCCAACTCCATCGCCCCTTCCATGCCTAAGAGGAAGAGGAGAGGAGAAAAGCAAAAGAAAAAAAGAGGCTGGCCAGTATGGCTCAGTGGTTGAGCATCGACCTAGGAACCAGGTCAGGGTTTGGCTCCCGGTCAGGGCACAGGCCTGGGTTACCCAGTGTGGGGCGTGCAGGAGGCAGCCGATCCATGATTGTCTCTCATCATTGATGTTTCTCTCTTCCCCTCTCCCTTCCTCTCTGAAATCAATAATAGGAATATGTTTTTTAAGGAGAAAAGAAAGCCAGGGTTCGTTCACACAATGAGAGAGAAAGCTCTTGCTCTGACCAGGGACACAGGTGGGAAATCTGAGGGCATTCAGGTGGGGTTTGAAATGTTACCTGTGCAGCCTCCCAGCGCCCAGTTTCCAACCCCCATCCTTTCCAGGGCCCGGGCTCAGTGCTGCACCTGGCGGCCGAGGGGCCATCTATCGAAGCTGCGTGCCAGGCGCTGCCTGCCCACACGCCCGGCTGCCCCCTCGCCTGGGCCTCCTCGGTCCTCACTGCACTACCGGCTCCCAGGCTCTGCCATCAAACCCCGGCAGGTGCCAGGGCCGCTCCAGATCCCTTCTCCTTTGGGAAAATGAGACCTCCATCCGGCCCTGGCCGGCGTGGCCCAGTGGATAGGGCGTCGGCCTGCGGACCAAAGGGTCCCGGGTGCGATTCCAGTGACGGGCATGTCCCTGGGTTGCAGGTTCCTCCCCGGCCTGGGCCCTGGCCACCAATCGATGTGCCTCTCTCACATCGGTGTTTCTCTCTGGATCTCTCTCTTCCCCTCTCCCTTAAAAATCAATGGAAAACTATCCTCGGGTGAAGACTCACAACAAAAACCCTCCACTGGGCATCCTGCCTCCCTTCTCCTGGGCCAGCTCCTCCCACCTGGCCGCGTCCACCCTGCAGCCGGGCCCCGTTAGCGCCGTGCGGATCCTGCTCGCCGTGCCCTTCACCGGCTGCTCTCCCCGCTCCTCCGCAGCCCGCCATGTGCCTTCCCACTGAGCCCCTTCTCTTCTCCCTTCTGCGCGAACGAAGCCAAGGCGCTAACAAGCGTGTGCACATCACAACCGTGTGTAGCCCAGCGAGTCCCCCAAGGCTGGCCGTGCCCACGCCGGCCACAGGGACCCTCAGTCACCGCCCGGCACCGAGCCCGCCAGGACAGGACTGCCGGGAGCCGGACAGAGCGTGTCCTTCGCTCCGTCACCGGGACCAGCTCGGGGCTCCCCCACCCAGACCAGCACGGCTCCGCCTCACGTACGCTTCCAGCCACAGTTCCCGAGAGAATCCCAACAGCGTGTCCCCAGGTGTCCACAGCCACACACAGGTGTGTTTCCCTTAATTTCCAGAGAGGAGACGGAAGGCATTCATCGCACAGGCGAGCACACTGGCATGCTAATTAGGAAACGCAAGTCAGGCCGCCGGAATTGCAGAAGCAAAGCAGCGACAGGAGCACTAACAGCCTTGGCCGTGGAAATGTTAACTGTGTGTATACGCCAGCTTCCACGCGTGTACCAATATTGACCCGTTAGCTAAATGTTTTTTATAATCGATTTTAGAGAGAAAAGAAGGGAGAGGGAGAGAGAGAGAGAAACACTGATGAGCGAGAAATACTGATCGGCTGCCTCCTGCACACCCCCTGTTGGGGACTGAGCCCGCCACCCGGCCTGTGCCGCCCGGGAATCGAACCGGTGACCTCTCAGCGATGGGACGACGCCCAGCCCAGAATCGAGCCGGCGGCAGAGGCTCTGCGATGAACCCGGAAGAGGGAATTACTGCGCCCCGCTCCCTGGGCCTGCCTGAGTGGGCAGGTGCTCAGGTGCCCAGGCCTCACATTTCACTCTAACGGGAAATCCTGGATTTCCGGGAAACGTCCCCATGGACAGTGAAATCCTGCTCTCCGTCCCCCAGGCCCCCGAGGTGAGTGGCAGTCATAGCGGTGATGGCCGGCCCGAGCAACACGGAGAATCCTCTCTATGCATCAGCGTCGTTCTGCAGAGTCCCCCACTTTTTACCGGGTCCCCCACTTTTTACTGGCTCCCCCACCCCCAGAAAGCAACGCCTGTCAGAGAGAGAGCTGCCTGCGCCGAGTCCCCGTGTCCCCTCTCGTCCGATCGCTGAGGAGAGGTGCCGAGCTGAGTCACAGGCCGGCCGGCCGGGGGGAGGGATGACTCACTCAGCGCTCCGAGCCCGGAAGCAGGTGCCAGGCCCCGGGCCGCTGTGGGCAGGCGGGCGGCTCCGCTGACAGGACAGGAAGGAGGAGGTGCCCGGTAAGCCGGCCAGGGCGCTGTTTGGGGAAACGGTCCCGGGACAGAGAGCGGGTCTGGGGAAATGAACGTGGTGGTTCCAGAGGGGCCATGCGAAGGTTTTCACGATGTTCTAAACCAGGCGTCTTCAAACTACGGCCCGCGGGCCACATGCGGCCCGCAGAGGAGTCTGATCCGGCCCGCCAGGTTTTTTGGGCAGTGAGCGCAGCCGAGGTGTTACAGTAGGAATTAGTAGTTCATATAGTCCGGCCCTCCAGCTCTCTGAGGGACTGTGATCTGGCCCCCACTTTAAAAAGTTTGACAAAGCGGCAGCCCAGCCCGTGTGGCTCAGTGGTTGAGCGCCGTCCTACACACCAGGAGGGCACGGTCCGATTGTGGATCAGGGCACAGGCCCAGGGTGGGGGCCCGATTCCCAGTGGGGGGCGGCAGGAGGCAGCTGAGTAATGTTTCCCTCTCACATCAATGTCTCTCTCTCTCTCCATTCCTCGCTCTAGGATCATAAACACATCCTTGGGGAAGGATTTATTTAAAATTTAAAAGGAGGGCCGAAACCGGTTTGGCTCAGTGGTAGAGCATCGGTCTGCGGACTGAAAGGTCCCAGGTTCGATTCCAGTCAAGGGCATGTACGTTGATTGTGGGCACATCCCTGGTAGGGGGTGTGCAAGAGGCAGCTGGTC